TTTCCCAGCTTTGTTTTTCCTCTGTTCTCATACAACCACAACAGTCATCAGCAAAGAACTCGACAACCAAAGGTAAGGGTTTTTTTGTCCCCACACACCAAGCAGCAGACACCAGTTAGGTGTCCTCTAATTAAATTCTGGCACTGTCTATCTGGAGATAGTATCAGATCCCACAGAGTGAGGGCTCAGTCCCCAAAACTGCCCCCCACCCCACAGATACCAATCGCAAGTCTGGGCCTCCGGAACTCCCAACGACCCGCTTTAAGTTGGGGTTCTCATGACCCTCTCTTTGGGTTCAATTCATTTGCTGGAGCTGCTCACAAACTCAGAGAAACACATTTAAAGATTTGATATAAGGATGTTACAAAGGATACAGATGCATAGGGCCAGGTAAGGAGGAAGGGGCGGAGGGACAGAGATCCCACGTGGTGCCATCCTCCAGGAACCTCCATGTGTTCAGCTATCTGGAAGCTCTCCAAATCCTTTCCTTTTTGTTTTTCACATAGTCATGATTGACAACTGTGTAGAAATGTGATTGGACAGAAGGGATATGACCTCATACTAACAGACTGAGTTGGGAAGCCCAGCAAGGCCTGACTGCTCAGGTTCCCCTTGGTCTCTCCGTGCAGCCTTTCTTACTCCAGAGTATCGGGCAGGACTCTGTCTGGAATGAGGGTCTTTTGATCCACAATCAGATTAGAGTCCTGCTTCGGAGCAGGTAAAAGGAGGACAGGAGAAGGTCAGAGAAAGAGATTCTGTTTTCTGAGACCTGCTCCTGAGTCCTAAAGCACCCCAACGTTATAACAAAAGACTGTAACAAGGGCTCTGGTTGTTACAAGCCAGGAACAGTGGATAAAAACCAATATATTAATATTTAAAAATTGTAATATCATAGCCTCCAAACAGGAGGAAAAGCAATTATTTGTTAGTTGGTTTTTCTAGTTAAAAGTAATAAAATTTACTGGTTCATTTCTATAATAGTCTATATATAAGGTTGTTTGATCTAAGAGCATTTTTCCTTAATACTAAAATCAAGCAGGAATTCTCTCCTCTCTGTATGTTCCTCAAGAAATGCCCAAATTTCTAAACAGTACTGATGTGATTTAAGATTTCCTCCTTTAGCATCTAGAAGACTATTTACTTTTTTAAAAATAAACTTATTTCAGAGTAAATTTACAAAAAAATTGTGAACACAGTTTAAAGAGTTTTCATACACCCCACATCAGTTTCCCCTATTATTAAAATCTGATATTAGTATGGTGCATTTGTAACAATTAATGAAACAATGCTGATATACTATCATTAACTGAAGATTATAATTTATTCATATCTCCTTAGTTTTTACCTAATGTCCTTTTACTGTTCCAATATCCCCCCCAGCACACATTACATTTAGTTGTCATCTATCTTCTTGGCTGTGACAGCTTCTTTGACTTCTCTTGTTCCTGATAATTTTGTTAGTTCTGAGGAATACTGTTTGGGTATTATATAGGATCTCTCTCAGCTGGGATTTCTCTGATGTTTTCTTATGACTACTTGGGGGCTATATGTTTTGGGAAGGAAGACCACAGAAATACAGTGCCATTTTCATCATGTTATGTCAAGGTACATAATATCAACATGATCTATCACTGCTGATGTTCTCCTTAAGCACTGGCTGAGGTAGTGTTTGTCAGACTTCTCCACTGTAAAGTTACTCTTCTCCATACCGTATTGGAAAGACGTCACTGTGAACAGCCCACACCTAAGAAAGGAGTTATGCTCTGCTTTCTCAAAAGTGGAATGTCTACATAAATTATTTGGGCTTTTCCTATACAGGAGACTCATCTATTCCCCGTCATTAATTTATTATTCAAGTAAGTTATTCACATCATTATGGACTCAAGAATATTTTCTACTTTAGGTGATAATACAATACTGTTTTATTTATGTTGTTGCTCAATTTTTTTCCAAGACTGACTGTTGGGAACTCTTTCCATTTGCTCCTGTATCCCTTTGACATACACCCTTCTTTGTGTTTTTATTGGGCACTTCTTTCCTTTCTGGGACTATAAGATACTCCAGTGTCCTCTTATTTTGTATCTTTCTTGCCCTGGTTCTAGAATCAACCATTTCTTCAAGGAGCTCTTGACACTGTCCCCCCTCCCCCCACCACCTTTCTTTAGAGAGAGAGAATACCATTTCTTTATCTCCCTGTCACATGCTTCCCCTGCACTCTTTGACCAGTCAACAATCTCTATACACTGGCCCACTCCAAAACTCTTAAAAACCTTAGCCTCAAATTCCCTCGGGAGACAGATTTGAAGTTTCCTTCTGTCTCCTCATTCAGCAGCCTTACCTCTGATTAAACTTCTTTCTCTGCTACAATCCCCATATCTTGGCATGTTGACTTGCCATGTACATCGAACAACAGACCTATTACAGTTATATCTCCCGCTTCCCTACTTTTCTTATTATGGAGGAGATACAAACTTTCCTAGTGGGCCCATTCAGAGATAGGCATTCCTGGGACTGAGACTAGAAATTATTCCTCCAGCCCTTCCAATGATTTTATAAGTACCTAATATCCTGTCTTAAACTTTTTTTTAATTTAAAATAGTTGGAGGGGTTTCTGTAAGGGAACTCTGACTGATATAAATGACACTGAGGGCACTTTACAATTTGACTTTGAATCCTCTTCTCAAACCTTATTCATTCCTGCAAGGATACTTCATGCTTTGGCTACATGTTTATTTACCATCCTGGAATTTAATCTGTATGATGCCTTCTCATGTTGCAACTGCCTTCTATTTTAATTACCCTCCTTTTCTTCCTAATGTTATGAGTTATCAATTGTTGCAAAGTAAATTATCTGAAAACTTCATGATGTTTACAGCATTTATTATCTAACATTGTTGTGGGTCAGGAAACTAGGCATGGGTACCTGGGTCCCCTGCTTCAGGGTCACTCACAAAGCTGCAATTCAAGTGTCTGCCAGGGCTTAGTCATCTCAGGGCTTGACTAGAATTCACTTCCAATTTCATTTGCATGGCTGTTGGCAGGATTTAGTTCCTTGTTTGCAGTTAGCCAAAGCTACCCTCAGTTCTTTCCCAGTAGACCTCTCCTTTGGGACAGCTCACAAAATAGCAGTTTGCTTCATCAGAGCAACAAGCAAGAGGAGCCAGAAAGGAAGCGTGCTAGCAAGATGAAAGTCATAATCTTTTAGATCTAATCTTGGAAGTGACATCCAATTATTTTTGCCATATTTTATTCATTAGAAGGAAGTCACTATGTCCAGCTATGCTTAAGGGGAGTGGATTATACAAGGACATGAATATCAAGATGTGGAGATCATTGGGAGCCATTTTCAAGGGCTGCCTCCTATCACATTAATTAATTTTTCTCATTCCTTCTTTTTAAAATTTGTTTATCTGTGTTATTATATGCCACAATATAAAAATAAGAATCCATTTTGATAATTTCCAGACTTATTTTACCACTCCACTGTTACTTTGTTTGAATTTTGCCTTCAGTGAAATTGAAAATATTTTTGTGATATAAAAAAAGACAAAATTGACAGGACATGGTGGCTCATGCCTATAATCCCAGCACTTTGGGAGGCTGCAGCGGGTGGATCACGAGGTCAGGAGTTCAAAACCAGCCTGGTCCAGATGGCAAAACCCTGTCTCTACTAAAAAATACAAAAAAATTAGCCATCATGGTGGCGGGCACCTGTAATCCCAGCTACTTGGGAGTCTGATATAGAGAATTGCTTGAACCCGGAGGTGGAGGTTGCCATGAGCCGAGATCGTGCCACTGTGCTCCAGCATGGGCAACAGAGCAAGACTCCATCTCAAACAAACAAACAAACAAACAAACAAAAAAGACAAAATCAATTAAAAATAAAATCTTCATGAATACCAAAAGACCTAATTCAGTACTCAATAGTGCACATTCTTTTACCTATGAAGATCACCATTTCAGCAAAGTCAACATCACAAATGATAATAGTAATAACAAAGACTTCGATGTTATAAAACTGAATAAAGCTATGGTATCATAACCAAATATCTTAAAAACATGTTTTCTCCATCAGAAGATTAATAGAAGAATGTATCAAAGATATACTATCAAGTTAAAGAATGTAACAGAAATTTCCATGTTGGATAAATATGGGGAGAGGATGTTTAAATCTGAAGATCCTGTATGGAGAATATGTCTGGGTGGTAAATCCAGAAAGGAGGGTGGGATGAGGCATATATCATTAGTAGGCATCAGAGATTATGTCAACTTACCCTTGGTATTGACTGGTATCTGGGCAGAGTCAAGAGGCAAACCTGATCCTGATTTGGACAGAAACAAGGCACTGCCTGCAAGGAATCTTGCCCCAAGCCTGAAACCCCAACGCAGGTAAATCAAAGCACTAATATACTCAATCAAAACAATGTAATAATCATCCAGTGGTCACTGGAAAAGCTGGGTGGTCTGCATCTGCAGGAAGGAAGAATTTCATGTGGTGACAATCAGAGCTGGAGAACACTTCAGACTATAATATAAGCAAGAGAATATTCCCATCCTTGATCCCAATTCTTTATGTCCCCTTTCCAATTTCCCCTTCATAGGAAGAGGAGTTGCTGAGCCTACTGATAAAGAGCAGGACTTTTACTGGTAGGCACACACATTTTACTGATGTGAAGTTATCCTTAAACTTCAAGGTGGCTAAGCTACCTTAAAACTCGCACCCATTCATGGCACTCACTTGATCGCTTCCTCTCTCAGCCTCTGGCAGGACCTGCACCCTAGAGGCAGGTTAGCCATTTTCTACCATTACTTCTATTTTACATATTGAATTAGATAGCTGGACTATCTAATTTGCATTTTTCTCTTTCTGGATCCTACTTAGGTCTCCAGGCTTAGCCATATGTTTAAAAGAGTTTTCTCAGAGAACTCTGCACTGAGGGTTATTAGCTGAAATTAATGAAGTATGGATGGAGGCAAAGATAATTATTCTTGTTGTAATATCCAAACTTCCTTTATTCTCCTTTCCCAGAATGAAGGCTTGGGATTCACCAATGTAACCTTTTCTCTGAATTGATTAAAGCAGAATTCTGCCTCTGTGTAGACATATGCTTTCATTTCTCTTGGATAAATATGTAGGAGTAGAATGGTTAGATCATGTGGTAAGTGTATATTTAGCTTTTTAAGAAATAGCCAAACTCTTTTCCAAAATTTTTGTATTATTTTACATTTCCAACATGCTGTATAGAAGAATTTCAGTTCTTTCACCTCCTTGTCAACACTTGATAGGATCTTTCAAATTTTAGCCATTCTAGTAGCTACAGTGCACAGTGAAATCTTATCTTCTAATTTGCATTTCCCTAATGATTAATTATGTTAATTCATGTGCTTATTTTGTCATCTATAAATCTTTGGTGAAATGTCTGTTCAAATGTTTTGCCCATTTAAAAAAGTTAGGTTGTCTTCTTAACAGGTTTTAAGAGTTATTTACATATTCTAGTTAGAAGTCCTTCATCAAATACATGTTTTGCAAATACTTTCTCCAAGTCTGTGGCTTACCTTTTCATTTTCTTAACAGAAAATTTTCTTTACTTCTCTTAAAAGCAGAAGTATTTAATTTTGATGAAGTACAATTCATCAATTTTTTTTCATTTACAGTTTCTGCTTTTTGTGCCATGTTTAAGAAGTCTTTGCATATCCAAGGTCACTAAGATGTCTTCTAGAAGTTTTGTGATTTTAGCTCTTACACTTAGATGTATGATCCATTTTTAATTAGTTTTTACATATGGTATTGATGGCTGGCAACCTGTCTGGAGCAGCTGCTGTGAAGATGCAGGCTGCATTGAGGGAGGCCCAGCCAGGGCTGCACGCTCCATAGAACCACAGGAGCCGAAACAGGCAGGATCCCTACCCGCTTCCAAGTTGGTGGGATGGGAGCCCCGCCCTCCTGGGCACAGCAGCAGCTGTCCAACCACAGCTGTGGACCTAGGCATATTTGTGCTCCCAGGGGCCTAGGAAGCCCCTTGCCCCCATAAGTTTGAAAGTGCTTGCTACCTCTGTCTGACCTCTCCTGGCTCTGGGGCCCGCTCTGGGGCACAGCATAGTTGTGGCCAACTCCAGGCACTGTCACAGTCCAGCCAGGTGTGGACTTATTAATTCTTGCAGCTTTTTAATAGTATTCCACAATTTTCTTACACAAATAAATGCAGTGCAACAACTTCCTTTCTGACTTGGATGCCTTTTATTTATTTGTCTTGTTTTATTTCATCGACCAGAACCTCCAATACAATGTTTAATTGAAGGCCATTTTTACAGAGTAATATTTCTAACGTCCAGAGCTGGATTAGGCTGAACTATGGAATCTTGTTGAATTTAATTTGGTATCTCTTGGAATTTACTAAATCATTATTTATAGTTCATTTTTAAGCTTTTCGCTTTTCCAGTGTTCAAATATTCATCAAATGTTCAAATATTGAACAATTACCATGCTGGCTGTCAGGGAAATAATGGCACACAAACAGGCATTGACCTATCCCTAATGAAGTCTTACCATACTACTGAGGCAGTTTAAAACAGGAATTAAAAGCACAAGTTCAGGGTTCTGTTTGCTTGGGTTTGAATCTGGCTCTGCCTCTTAATGGCTGTTTAACCTTAGAAAAGTTAATGGGCTCTTCTAAGCCTGTGTCTTCATTTGTAAAGTGAAGGTATTAGTAATACCTACTAGCAGGATTCCTGTGAGGATTAAACGAATTAATATCTTTAAAGTTCTTAAAACAGGGTTTGAAATACAGTAAATCGTCAACGAATATTATTATTAGAGGGAATAATTAGTTCTTCACAGGGTAAATCTTCAAGTGAAGGAGGGGTGTCCAAACATTAAGAAGCATAAGAAGCAGATTAACTGCTAAGCATAGAGGCAGTAGTGTCAGCCATACCTGGGTTAAAATCCTTGCTTTGTTGTTTATTGTCTAGGCAACTTTGAGAGAACAATTTAAGAGCAATGCCTGTAAAAATGCCTAGTGCGGTATTTGGCACACAATAGATGCTTAACAGACAGCAATTATTGATTCAGACGTCCTGAAGAGCAATAATATCATTAACATGTATTCATCATAATAATATCTATCATTTATCAAAGCTCAGCATTTTGAACCGTGTAATTACTTTTCATACATTCTCTCATGCTTAATAACTTGACTAGGTGAACACAATCGGCCCCATTTCCTGATAAAGGAACTAGATGATCTTTGTGTGATCAGTGGGGAGACTGGAGGTCTGGGAAGTGTTATTTTGGACCCCAACTTTTGACCAAACCAGGGCTCTCAGTGCGACCTTGGTCGCCAGCGGGGCGCTGGCCTTTCCGCTTCGGAAGTGGCACCAGGAGAGATGGGAGTCGGCTAGTCCGTTTCCAAGGCCACTTCATGAAGCCGCTGGCTCCGGGAGCCGGGGAGGCGAAACGCTCCTTCGCAGCCACCTCTCCTCTCAGACGGCCATCTGGGCTCAAAAGTCATCAGGAGCTGCGGAGCAGGTCCGTAGGGGCGCTGGCGAGGAAAGTTGGGCGCCGTCTCCAGGCAACGCGCCGGGGGCGGGGCTTTGCGTCACTGAGGTGCGACCGGGTCCCGGGCCGAGTCACCGACGCCCGCCGGGCTGAGCTGTGGGCCGAGGCGGCGCTGCCGCTGCCGCGGGGTGCGCGATGCCTTGAACCTGGGGTGAGTTCCGCGGCGCTGTCTTTTCGCTGTTTCCCCTGCTAGCTGCTCCAGGACCCTGGGAATGGGAAGAGGAACCCCGGCCGGGCCTCCGCTACCGAGCCGGGCTTCGGCGGGGAGATAGGCCCGGCCCCGGCGCCCTCCCCAGGCCTCGGCTTGGGGCGTGGGCCCGGCTGGAGAGGCCCTTCTGCGTACGCGCGTCTCCTGCCTGGCGGGTCCCAGTTGCCCGGGGTGGCGGTTGCTTGTCCCGCCTGGGGGTGGTTTTGAGGGACCCGAAGAGAGTTTTTCCTCTTCTGTCCCTGAGTGGTTGTTTGAATATTGCCGCCCGCGCCGTCTTTCGGCTGGCGGACTTAGCTGTTGGTTAAAGGTCCAGGTGCGCTTGAGGAGGGGCTCAGGCGGCGTAGCGAAAGCAAGCGCGAGGATAGCCCGTGGTCTCGGTCCCCGCCGGGCCGGACACTCCAAATAAGAAACTTTTGCCTGGGGCGATACCTCAGAAATAGCCCCGTCGATCTACTTAGTCCCACATTTCTGAATTGGCTTAGGCGCTACCCTTCCCAAAGGTCTTTCTTCAAACTAGCTGCTACCTTGAGACCCCGCTGAGAGGAAAAAAAAAAGAGGTTTTCTTGCTAAGAATAAGAAGGTAGTGATTACACAGCAGGAGCAGGCGGCTTCTGTGTTAGCTTTTGAAATTATTCCTTCAGTTATTTGTCTCTTGTTCTAAAATGTGGACTTACAATTGTTATTGAAATCGATCCCTATTCCCCTTATTAGACATAGTGTACCCTTCTGTGTTCTGACACTGTCCTGTTTAGCGGTGCCAGATAATTCAGTTGTTGCCTCTGGCATATATAAAGCTGCTGGAACACTTTCAGTTGTTTATAGTTCTCACACCTTCAGCATGAAGTTATTCGTTTTCACTCCCCCTCATTCTTCTTGCTATAAAATGACCTGTCCATTCAGAATTTTGTCTGGGGTTATGAGCTGCCACCGGCCAAGGATCCTATGTTAGTCACCTCTACGTAGAAGTCACCCATCTGAGAAGTGATGCTTTCTCAAATTCAGAGCTCAAAAATAGTATGGATTTTTCTCCTTTTCTTTAACATGGCCTGGCTTCAGTTTCTAAAACCCTTTCTCAAGAATCTGACTTTATGTTTCAAAAATTAATATTTGTCATTTGGCGTCAGTGAACTTTGATGTGTGTAGCCTGATCCTTCTTGGTTCACGTCTAAATACAAACACACCTTCCTTCCCCTTCCCTTCCCAAAAAAGCAAGGAAGGTCCAGAGAGAATTCTTACAAGTCTAGTGTGTTTTTTCCAATATGAAATGTGTTTAGTAAACACATTGGTACTGTTAGGAATCTGTATTCTTAATCTCCTAGTACAGTACTCTATGCTTTTGTAGTTTCTCTCGCGTGCACGCTCTCTCTCCGTATATATCTTCTTCTGATCAAGAGCTTTGATCCTGGAACAGGCATTCCAGACTCTATAGTGACTCTGGCCTAATTATTTCACTATGTATTTATGTTAACTTAAAAAAAAAAGTTGATGTCTGTTTACAGATCTACAGTTTGAGAAAACAATGAGTAATAAATAGTATCCTTAGGGACTCAGTCAGTAGTACTTGTATTTATTACTGATAAAGTTGACTTGACAGTGAAAATAGTTTATGTTTATTTCAATTAAGTCTTTGTAAGTGAGGTTGATACAAAATTTGGAGAACCGGTTTCACAGAGGTTTTTAAAATACTACAGTACAGTACTTGTCGTTTAGTCATTGTGTTGCATTTTCAGCTTTTTCCTTTTTCCTTTAGTTATTTTATGAATGAATTATGGTTTAAATTTTTAGGGAGTTTTCGAGCAGTTTTTTAGTTTTTGCTTTGCCGGTTACCAATGATGTAATTATTATATTTTTATAAAGAATGTTTGAATTGCCACAGTTCATTTGTTAGAAAAATAAGTGATTCACTGTATGTACCACCCACTAGAGAATGTGGCATTTTTGGAATCCTTGATCTTGTGCATTACAAAATAACAGTTCTTTATTTAGAAAATCCTTCAGATGCTTTTTGAAAGCATATTTTTATCTTGCAGAAAATGACTGTGTTATAGGTGGCATAATAATATGAGAGCTGCTAGTTACTTGAGAAATCTTAACCAGAAATTTGTCTTTTGTTGAATTCTATGCCAGTGGTTTGAAAATTATGTTGCATGCCCCAAGGGGAGGTATCCTGTTAAAATCAAATGGTGACTCTTTGCCTAAGCATTAATTTAATGATAAATTTTCAGTTTTACATTTTCTTTCATATATGTCTTTAACCTCTGCTTCTCTCCAAGCTAGTGCTGGTAGATGACTGACCAGATCAACAAAAGTCAAAAGAATACTAAGTGAATAATAGAAAAACAAAAACTGCCAATGATATTTACTGCATTTATTCAGTAAATATCTATTGAGTGCTTGTGTATCTGCCAGGAGAGACCATGGCTGCTCTCCTCAAGAAGCTCATGGAGGGAAATGGCCCAGTGACTTAATGGCTGTCATACTATGACAGAAATATGTGCAGTCATCAAAGAGGGACACTAAAAGGCTGTGGTGGTGACTGATTAGAGGATGGCCTCAACAGATTGTTTTTTGTGAACATGCACTCGGTGTTGTGTTTTATATTGTATCTAGATCACAGAGTCATACCTTTACTTAAACACCTATATAGTGATAGATGTTAATATTTATCAATATTTTATGATTTTCAAAATAAACTAAATTTTAGGCCTTCTTTCCTGAACCAAGTTGAGAACCACTTTTGCAGACTCTCTCAGGTAGTCTCTAGATAGTGTTGCATTTTAATCCAAGGAGTTAGTAATAAAGTTTCCCAAATATCACGTACAGTTACAAGATAACAAGTTAATATAATGTTAATTTATATTATATTTATATCTAGATAGTGTTGCATTTTAATCCAAGGAGTTAGTAATGAAGTTTCCTAGATACCAAGTACAGTTACAAGATAGCAAGTTAATATGCTGCCTCAAATTATAAACCTTACTCAAAGTTAGGGCACCTGATGAAAACAATGCTGAAACAAAGGGGATCATTATCTATTAATAATTCAATAATAAGCAACTAATGCTTCTTTTCAAATATGGTTTTGGTCGGTATATAGGGTAGCAAAATATGCTACTTTGGCGTAAGAATTATTTTGAGTTAAAGGCACATTGAAAAGCAGCAGATGTAAGAAGAGCACTCTGACCCTCATTTTTTTTATTTCCTGAAGGCTGGTGATAAAACAACCATGTGAAAGCTGCCCTCCCTATGCCAGGAGGAAGACATTATCATTACCAGAGATGAGCAATCAAAGCTGAAAGAAATCTGTTCAAATAAGCCTTCTTAAAGTAACCCTTATCTTCCTAGCCACTTTTCTATGATTAACTGCCCCAGCCTGAACCTTTATGTCTTGTAATGTTTTCACAGTTTACTTCTCCTTTGTCCAATCTACTATGTAACGGTTTGGCCTTAATTACCTTTTTTAGTCCTTCTTTTTCTTGAAGGCTCCTGTGTATGTATAGAAATGACTAAATAAAATTGGTATGTTTTTCTCCTGTTTATCTATCTTAGGTTGGTTTAATTAATTCTTAGGCCCAGCTGGAGACCCTAAGAAAGTGGCCCAGCTGGAGACCCTATGAAAGTAGAGGGGGAGAAATTCTAATCTAACCACATTGGTTAGATTATCATATGTATGTATATTAAATATTGAGACTATATATTTCAGAAGTTCAGTTTTTTCTTTGCTAAGTCATGTAGATATTATTTAAAGTTTCAGTCTGGTTGATTAGAATCTTAATTACATTTTGATTGGATTGGTACAAGAATGTTAGAGGAAGGTTAAGTTTCATTTTGCGAATAAAATGCTAGGTCACCTACTCCACTTCCCACCAGGTAAAAATCTCTATAACATTTATTAGATGAACTTCCAGTCTTTACCTAAACACTTCCATACTTCCAATGAGAAGGAGCTCACATGTAACAGCCATTTCCACTTTTGGATGGTAGGACATTCTTTTATTTTGAAATCTGCCTTTCTAATTTATACTTACTAATTTATACTTATTGACCATTCTGTACTCTGTAAATGAATCTTGTTTTTCCACATGACAGCTCCTCAAATATTTAAACTTACCATGTTGCTTCATTGTTGCCAAACTATGACTATCTAGAATAAACCTCTTTTTTTTTCTAGGCCCATGAATATGTTTTAATTATTAGTATCCTTTAAGCCAACTGCTTAGAGCTGAATACAGACTTTTCAGTGTGGCTTAACCATTGCAGAGCATAGTGGACTAGTAGGTTGCTTGCTTGAGACATCTACTTCTAGCAAGAGTGTAAGACTCTTTTAGCACACTTGTTGCCCTGTTATATTGTTGACTTATTTTGATTAAAAACCACAGACTTGCTTGGGTGTGGTGGCTTATGCCTGTAATCACAGTACTTGAGGTAGGCCGAGGTGCGAGGATTGCTTGAGCCTAGGACTTTGTGACCAGCCTGGGCAACATAGGGAGGCCGAGGTGCGAGGATTGCTTGAGCCTAGGACTTTGTGACCAGCCTGGGCAACATAGGGAGAGCCCATCTCTTTAAAAAACAAAAAAACAAAACCCCAGACCTTTTATAACTTAACTGCTTTTGAGCATATCTTACATATGTGTTTCATCTTCCATATGTGTTTTTTCTTACATGTGAGTTAACATGTTACATATGTGTTTTTGTGCAGTTGGCTCTTCAGGATTTAACTTTTAGTCATATTAAATATAGTTCATTTAAGCACATCAGTGTCTGTTTTAGTCTTGATTCTGTTATTCACTAGATACTCGTTTATTCCAGTTTTAGTCATCCACAGATTAGGCAGACATACGGTCTTCAGGTCATCAACAAAAATGTGAAACAGCCGAACTCTTGGTGCCAGTTTCCCTCTCCCTTTGCCTCTCTGCTTTAGTCATTGTGGCCTTTTAAAAAATTACCTCAAAGTGACCATGCTGCTTCCTATCTCAGGCACTTTTTCTAACCTCTGCCTAGAGTGTCCTGCTTTTGCCATGTCCCTACCTCTTTTTTATCCCTAACTCTGACCGTTCTGACCTCAAGTAAAATGTTTGCCCAGGGACTTCTTCCCTAACACAAAACTAGGTCAAGTCCCCCTTTTATAGGCTTTCATAGCACCTGTACTTGTTCACCTAGCACTTCTCATTTTGTAATTTTATATTTATTTGTGTGGTTACTGTCTCTTCTCCACTGTATTGGATGCTCCACGGCAGCAAAAACCATGTTTCTTTTGTTCACTGTTGTATCTCCAGAACGTAAGTGCCAGGCATGTGCTTACTTGTTGCATTTAATTTTTTAAAAATTCCTGTAACACCGTGGCTCCCTAATACCAGTCTGCAATCCTTGGCTCCTGATGATGTTTTATAAGTTTGGATTAGATCAATAAAAATAAGGACGTATTGTATATGTGGTATACCTCATTGTGAAGTTACTGCCCTTCTTGGGAATGGCTTTTTTTTCTAATAATCTTACTTTTCAGGTTGTAAGTTTTTTAAAGATTTTTTATTAATTTTGGGGGAATTTTTATTTTTGGAAACTGTCCTTAATTAGAATTTAAAGAAGTATGCAACACCATGGTGCTGTGAGATTTTACTAGTCTTTGAAATTCAGAAATCACTGATGTTGCCTGTCCTCATCTGAGCTAAGATCTTTATTTCTTTTTGGATACAATTGCTGTAAATCCACTTGGCTATATTTATATATAATTTGCCTTCAGGAATTTTTTTTTAAGTGGCCTGGATCTTCCTCAACAACTTCCTTTCATTTATCTCTATATTATGGTATTTATTATTGCCAAGTAGGCTCAGATTCAAAACAGTAATTATTGAGTTTTTCTTTAATTACAGTTGTCCTTTTCCTATTTTAGGTAACTAAAGGAATAAACTTCAAAAACAGTACATTAAATTTTAATACCAAAAGCAAATTTTACTTAGTTTTGGTTACTAACTTTGTAAACTTTTATATTTTTAAATTATAACTGTATTTTTGATTAAATGATAAAGCAATCTTCCTACCAAAGCTTTTCCTATAAGAGTATTACTGTTTCACCTGCTTTATGTGATATGAGTGTTAATTTGGATGAAATAAAATGATAGTCTTTGATGGATAAATAAAATAGAATTTCTTGGGGGCAGCTGATTTTGGGGGCATTTAAAAAATTGATAGGTATTAGATATATATTTTGGGGGGTACCTTAAAGTTAATGAGCAGGCCAGGCACAGTGGCTCACACCTGTAATCCCAGACTTTGGGAGGCTGAGGCGAGCAGATCACCTGAGGTTAAGAGTTTGAGACCAGCCTGACCAACGTGGAGAAACCCTGTGTCTACTGAAAATACAAAATTAACTGTGCATGGTGGCACATGCCTGTAATCTCAGCTACTCAGGAGGCTGAGGCAAGAGAATCGCTTGAACCTGGGAGGCAGAGGTTGCTGTGAGCCGAGATGGCGTCATTGCACTCCAGCCTGGGCAAAAAGAGCAAAACTCCGTCTCAAAAAAAAAAAAAAAAAATCAACAAAAAAGCTGTCTTTTCCAAGCAGAAAATGTGAGGTGGTTAAGATATGACATTCTAATTTTCTTAGGTTTCTCTAAGTCTGTTTACGTATTTTTAAAAATTAAAAATTAAATCTATAAATAAAGGAATTCAACAACAAATTTTTTTAGCTGATAGAAGTATATTGTGAGCCAGTATGCCAATGTACATAAGGATGTAAGTATAGAATCTGAGAAAACAAATTCCAAGTTCACGTTCACCACTTAACAGCTGTGTAACTTTAGATAAGTCACCTAGCTCAGTTTCCCCGTCTGTGGGAAACAGGAGTATAATACTGTCTGCCTCTTAGGATTGTTGTATGAAGTAGCTGACATAATATATGGAAAACAGTTTGGAGTCTGACATGGTAAGCAGTCAGGAAATGTTCTTAGGAAAATTATATAAGGTAGACAAGCTTCCTCTTAACTACAATTACTCGAATGCCTGTGTGTGTGGGGTGCGCGTGGGCACACATGCCTAGTGGTTTTTGACTTGGTAAACTTACAAGAATTGGAGGTTCATCACCACCCCCCCAGTGATATATAAGTGCATCCTGTTTTCTCATTTAGCTATGTGAATCTGAAAACCATAGTCATTTAAATTCTACCTTAGACTCATGTAGGTTTACTCAGCTCTCACTTAAAGGCATTCCTAGTTTTTCTTTATTTTTTTGAAGAATGGGTACATTGCTGTTTTTGTATTATATGTAAAAGTAACTTTTCTGTATATTTGACAGAAACTATGTGAAGCAACGCTTTCTGGATTTTGAAAGACATCATTTCGTCATGGGACAGCAAATTTCGGATCAGACACAGTTGGTTATTAGCAAGTTACCAGAAAAAGTAGCAAAACATGTCACATTGGTTCGAGAAAGTGGCTCCTTAACTTATGAAGAATTTCTTGGGAGAGTAGCTGAGCTTAATGATGTGTAAGGCTTGCTCTTTTTGTTTTTCATTTTTCTGCCAATGTATGTCTGCCCCATATGTCATGGCTTTGTAAGACGTAACCAGAGGTATTGATTGGTAACACTTAAATGTTTTCAGTTAGCAATTAACAAATATTTTTTGAGTATCTATTATAGCTATGAAGCTTTTTGAAATATTTATTGAGTATCTCTTATGTCTATATAGCTTTTTGAAAATATGTAATGGGACAGAAGAGATAGAAAGAACTTAAAATGGAACTTGGAACACAGCACAGGCATATTGAAGCAATTCTAGGATACAGTAGTAGAACCCAACATCTCAATTTTATACCAATATACTCTTGTTTGAAAGCACTAAAGGGTTGCCTAAAATGGAATACGCAAAGTAGCCATTCTAGAGAAAGACTCCTAGGATAGTCAAAGGTAACACCGAGGTTTCTGTACATGAACCAATTGATTTGCATGTGTGTGTGGGTGTGTGTGTGTACACACATACATGTATACTGTTTTTTTACTGCCAGAGGCATACATATGTAGTACTAGCTCATTTTTGCCACTGAGAAATAACATATTTCATTAATTAATATATTTAATTAGTTAACACCTTTAAATTTCTACTTAAGTCTTTTAATAGATTTTTAAAATGGAATATAAATTTCTCTGCCTTCTTAAAGAGCACACCTAATAACACTTAGTCTTTTATTAATTTATTATTTATTACATTAGTTTTGGTATTGATCTATATAGAAGCTATTAAAATACATAGGGTGCCTTGTCCCTGAATGGCCCCAGACCACTGTGCTTTTTAAATACAACTTTTTTACTGTTTATTTTCTCCCTTGGTGACAATTGGGCAGATGTCATGTCTTTCTTTTAAATCTGCCTCTGGCAACATCCACATCCACCTTTATTTATATATACTAACCCCTGGGAGTGTAATTAGAATATATGGAGTCACCTCTTAAATGAGATCGTAAAGGTCTCTGTTTAGGCTCTTCGACTTAGCTAACATTCACTGAGCACATAGGATGTGCAAGGCACTCTACTAAGGACTAGACCTTTTAATTGAGGGCTACATTGATTGCCCAGGTATTCATGGCAGGACCCCTTCTCTGAATCTCAGATTTCCTGTTATCCCACATTACCTCCCCTTAAGAAGGCTGAATGAAATCATCTGGCAGTTCAGGATCATTTAATATATAAACTTAAAATACTGTAGTCACTATTAATAGTTTAAAGTAAGATACATGAACACACTCCCTAGGCATGACCGTGGTGTTAGGTGGTAACAGACTTACTTGGCAATCTGGAACACATTAGATAAGCTTGACATACTGTCTTTATGTGAAAATACACTGTCTTTATTGTGAAGAATAAAGACTGTCTTAAAAGTTATCTTACAAGGTGGTTTATTTTAAGAAGATTGGATTTCATTCATTAAAAAACAAAACCTGTATATAGGGGGGTGTATGTGTGTGTAGAAAATGAACTAAACTATTCCCAGTGCTTGTCTCTTGGTTGGGAGATAGTGGGAAAAGAAGGCAGATGGGGGATTTTACATTTTACTGTGTGTATATATGTATTTTATGATAAAAATATAGTCATTGGTTTTAAAAATTCTAGCATTTGTTTTTTTAAATTATCCAAAGGGTAGTGTTTGAAGCATTACTTCTGGGACCATATTCTTAAGGAATTTTTAAAGTAGGACTGTGAATTTAGTAATATCATAAGAGTGGAATGCTTTTTTGTGTTTTCAACTCTTATGAGCAGTCATCAATGACATTTAACCATTCTTTTAGAGTCTTGTGAATTTATATTCACAAACCCAGTCTATTGTATAAAATTTTGCCCTTTAGCCTAAAGATACAGGTATTACATAAAATGTACTCCATAAAACCATCCACAAACTAAGCTTACTGTGTGATACAGAGGTCTTCCTTTTATTTATTTAGCACAGGACACTTCTGACTGGATTTGGTTTTTAAAACCAATTCCCATGGGTCAGAGTTGGGCATTTCAGACATGCAATGATCTTCAAGAACTGTAAAATGAAACCTATATACGATGAAGTGTGGCTTGGCAGCTAGAAAACAGAACTGGAAACTGGCACAGTATTTTCACAGAATACTTTGTTTCCTAAGGCTAGTTGCTTAACTTTTGAAAGCCTCATTTTATGAGCTGTAAGTCACTTAGTTGAGTGTGATATTCCCACTGGTGCCCAGAGACAGTTGTTAGTAATGATAAAAGGGAACTGTAATACTTATGCATGTCTTTGAACTGATTTAAATTAATGTTGATAGTATAATATTGCATTACCTTCTAAAAGTGATATATTTTTATGTTAAAATTCTGTAGCTTTCTAAATTAAAATTACTCTGCTAGGGGAGGACAGTAGAGCTATATATAAAGTGTCTCAAATCAGTTGTTTTATTTGATCCAGTTCCAAATTATCTGAACAAAAACTTTCAAGAGGTTTGTTAATATTGTTGCTTAAACAAGGATTCAACCAAGGGCAAGGTGTTTTTCATGCTTTATATACATTTTAAGTAGTAGTCAAAATTTTGATAAATGACGCTAGCTAACATTTTTTTTTTTTTTTTTTTGAGATGGAGTCTCATTCTGTTGCTCAGGCTGGAGTGCAATGGTGTGATCTCAGCTCACTGCAACCTTTGCCTCCTGGATCCAAGCGATTCTCCTGCCTCAGCCTCCTGAGTAGTTGGGATTACAGGTGCACACCACCACACCCGGCTAATTTTTGTATTTTTAGTAGAGACAAGGTTTCACCATATTGGTCAGGCTGGTCTCGAACTCCTAACCTCATGATCTACACCTTGGCCTCCCAAAGCTTTGGAATTACAGGCGTAAGCCATTATGCGCAGCCCACCTTTTTTTTTTTAAGTCTCTGATTTCTCAGACTTCTTTTTCTTAAATGTCTTTGTTAGAAATTTAAAGATCATTGAGATATAGATGTTACAAAGAGAGATTTATAAACATCATCCCACTAAGCTGTTGACTTTAAAAACCTTAGAAATTAAGTTGCATGTTTATGTTCAAAATATTCTGTATCCCTGTTTTAAGAATCCAGTTAGTATAATCATTATTATTTGTCTTTGTGTGTTTTTTTTTTCATATTTCCTTCAGTTTGAAAGTGTTTCTTGAATTAGTTTTACAGCTCTATTATTTTATTGATGATTTTTTTTTTTTTTTTTTTTTTACAAAATTAACATGTGCTTGTCTCTTTTCAGAACTGCCAAAGTGGCTTCTGGCCAGGAAAAACATCTTCTCTTTGAGGTACAACCTGGGTCTGATTCCTCTGCGTTTTGGAAAGTGGTTGTACGGGTGGTCTGTACCAAGGTGAGACTGATAGAGACTTCCACCTTTGAGCTTAAGCTATTTTGGTGGCTGGAACCATATTTAATAGTGTAAGATAATATAATGCAATAAATTTTAATAACTTGATGGTTTTGTAAAACATAGTTTTGATACTGTTATTGACTTGTAGCTAACTGTTTGAATCTTAGAGTTGTCTAATTGCTTTATAACAGGGGTTTTTATAATCAAATTGTTTTTTGCCTCAGTATCTCTAACCATTACATCATACTAACCTATCTGTTTTTGGATTTGTAGCTGACTATAGAGTGCTAAGTTGACACCCTATTTAGCTTTAAGATGATATCTGAAAAATTAATGTTGTCTCAAGATTATTTCTTTTAAGAATATATTCATTCATTAAAAAGAAAAAAGATCCATTGAAACAAGTTTTTTGGGGGATTTTTTTAGTAATTTTTAGTTATGAGATAGATTTTTTGCCATCAATGCATTGTGTTTCTTAGTTCACCTCTAACTCCACTACAAATACAATGGCAGCTGTCATTGAGTATTAGAAAGCCTCAACTACCATGAAGTGGATTCTGACAGACAGTTCTTAACCTATCTGAGGCCATAGACCTTTTGATTAAATGAAGGCATGAATTTTATTAGGCCACCTCCTCTCCCCACCCTGGCTCTAAAACAAACAACAAAATCATCCATATGCATATAAACCATAAATTGGGCATTCATGAGTGCTCTGAAGTTCATTCCTGATCAACCCATAAAGACTTCCTGGTTTGGAGATTTTTCCCTTGAGTCACGGACCCTAGAAGTTACCCAGATAATGCACCTTATTTCCTCAGTAGATTGTCAGTTTTACCCATACTATGTTTCGCTTCCAGTTTATTTAAATAAACATTTAAGCTCAGGTGTGAGGGGCACTGGGAATATATGATAAGTAAAACAGATTTCATGCTCTCAGACTGATCTTTCAATTCTGATCCAGATTACCACAGATTTTGTATTAATCTCTATACTTCCAAACTCTTCTTCAAAGTCTAATTTATGCTACTGTGAGATTAACCTTTCTATAGCACAGCTCTTATCAGATCACTGCCTTGTTTAAAATTCCTCAGTAATTTCATCTTGCCTACCAAATAGCCCCAAATCCTACAATATGGCTCCAAACTATCTTTTCTGCATTAGTTATGATTGTCTTCTTTTGCTCTGCATTTTATGTTACTTTCCTAGTTCAGTGCTTCTGTTTATTGTGTTCCCTCAACTAGGATGTCCATTCCTTCCATTAGGAAGTCACAGAAAATTCCTGTTAAATCAGTTTGAACAAAAACAATATTTATTTTCTCACTTATCGACAAATCATAGCTCCATAGGATCCTAGCTGCAACCTCTGTAGGATTGGTTAAATTAAAGACCCAGCAGATGTCACTTCTGAACTCACTGGTCAGTATTGGGTCATATCCCCTTCATACACCTACACTGTCAGAGGGAATATGATTAGCATGATTGGTTTGGATTAGACTAACCAGGATTGACTCCTGAGTCATTTCGGGGAATGGTGGACACAAAAAATCAGGTTCTGCTGGCAGTGAAAAGAAAGAATGGTATTTGGATGATCAGCCAATAGTTTCAGCCACATCTTTTATTTCTGCATGTCTAAACCTGATGTCTCTAAAGGTCCACCTCAGATGGACCATTAAGTCTCATCCATTAAGTCTTCTGGATACGATTTCTCTTGTCTCTTCCAGATTCGAACAGCACATTATTTATACTTTATAATTAAATTCTGCATTACAAAAACAGTTATTTGTTTAGGTTCTTAGCTCCCCTTAAGTTAGTAATCCCCCGAGGGCAGGAACTATGTCTAGATTCATTCTTGTATCTCTTACAGCCTGTAATATAGTGCTTTGCACATGGCAGGAACTCAGTATATGTTAAGTGGACAAAAAAAATTGTTGAAATAATACTTTTTAAATGACTGGGATAGGTTGAAGCTTTCCTTGTTCAGTGATACAATATATTACCTAAATTACATTTACTGTCCATCTTTATTTCGTAAAGTACTCAGCTCATGTTGAAGAGGCCAATATAAATTGTAGAAAGCTAAGGGAATATGAATATATCAGGTTTCTCATCCCTTAGTTTTTTTTGCTCTTTGACAAACACAGACAAGGTTTAATTTTATTAGTAGTCAAATTCCTTTTTTGCCTCAGTATCTCTAACATCTGTATGTGATTAAACATCTTCCTTAAAATAAAATTCTAAGTAGAGAAACAAAAGTACTAAACACAATTAGATATTTTTTCATGTGATTTTTCTTGATTTTAGAGCTACTCTAAAGAAAATTTTTTATTTACATTCTTCAGGTTCTTTCTGAAAGAATCTGAGAGGTCAGTATTTATATTAGAAAGTGGTCAAGTCTACCATGAAAAACTGATAGGAGGCTAAAAGCTTCACATTTCTTAATGTTAAAATAACTTTAAAAAACTTGTACTTTCTTTGGGAGGCCGAGGTGGGTGGATCACGAGGTCAAGAGATCGAGACCATCCTGGTCAACATGGTGAAACCCCGTCTCTACTAAAAATACAAAAAATTAGCTGGGCATGGTGGCACGTGTCTGTAATCCCAGCTACTCAGGAGGCTGAGGCGGGAGAATTGCCTGAACCCAGGAGGCGGAGGTTGCGGTGAGCCGAGATCACACCATTGCACTCCAGCCTGGGTAACAAGAGCGAAACTCCGTCTCAAAAAAAAAAAAAAAAACTTGTACTTTAACCCTCTGTATTTACATTGAGTCTTTATCTTGACTATCTGCCATGTGCTATGATTAGCCTCAAATAATATTTAATCCATTATCAAAAAGATCTAAAATATGTTTACATGAAATATTTTATGGAAATAATATTAGAAAAGTAAGAGATTAATTAAAAATTGGGTACTAAGGTGTCTGTTAAGGACTGTATGAATTGTATTATTTCATCTTCCTTTTTACTTAGACCAACTTCTTGGAATCATTCTTGACTTTTCTTTGTCTCTCATACCTCACAATCAATCCATAAGTGAATCCTGTCACGTTTCTTTTCAAAATATATTCAGAATCTAGCCAGTTTTTACCATCTGCGCTACTACCACCCTATTTCTAGTGACCATCCTCTCTCACCAGGATTATTCCAGTAGCCTCCTAACTGCCTGCTTCTGCTCTTGCCCTGCTTCTCTCTATTCTCAGCATAACAACCAGTCTATTCCAAGCACAGCAACCAGTCTATTCCACATCACAATTTGAGATGTAAAGTAGATCATATTATTCCTTGGCTCAAAACCCTCCAGCGAATTCTCATGTACTTGGAATCAAAGCCACAGTTATTACTGAAATCAGCAAAGTCCTATATATTCTGCTCCCACCTCACCCTCTCCTCTGTCTTCTACCACTTCTCCCTCTGTCCCTCTGTCACTCTGTTCCAAACACTGGGCTTCTTGTGGGACTCTGTTTTCCTTGCCAGGTACACTTCTAAACAGGCTTTGTATTTCCTGCTCTCTCAGCCTGGAATGATACTCCCCCTAGACATCTATATGACTCATTTCTGCACCTCTTTCAGTTCTTAAATGTCAGCTTCTCTGTAAGACCTTCCCCATAACGCCTCAGCGTTCCTTCTCCCCTATTTCATCTTCTCCAGTACACTTATTTTCATCTAGCCTAATCTGTATTTTATTTGTCTATCTCTCCTACCTATCATTGTAACTTGCTTGAGGGCAGAGATTTTGTTTTGTACACACTGTCACTAGTGCAACATCCACATAATGAGTACTCGGTAAATACTTGTTTCAGGAATCCTATGATGAGGATAGTTACAGTGTGATACTTTGCTATTTCTATACTAACCTTACATAGATTATTCCGTAATTTCTTCTGTACTAAGCAGTTCCAAAGGACTACCCCAATTTCCTCAGCTCTGAAGATGTTTTGTAAGCCTCTATAAATTCCTCTTACTTTTAAATTCTATTCTCTACCTCATGTACAGTCTCTTATTCCAAAGAACCTTGTATATTTGCATCTCCAATAGATTTTACCTTCCCAAAATTTAATCGACTTTCTAATTATAAGAGATGGTTCTAAAATTTCTTAGTATGGTATATGACTCATTCTTCAGTATCAGTACTTTCTTTCACTGCCTTCTCAAATAGTGAGCAATTAATAAATGTGTTACAGCTATTACTGTTTTCATTAACAATATTCAAATGTTGGATAATATTTTTAAATGTGTAATCTAACTACCTCACTTTCTGATATCGCTAGGTCCATCAACACATTTCAGAATCTAACTTAAGTCACAGTTTTATGGCCCTCTATCTTTATCTCTCTTCCTGTATTCTTCATTTCTTTCTAAGTATTTTCAGATTTTGCTTGTTCTACTTACTTTGATATGCACTTAATAGATTTCATGGCTTACTTCTTCTTCACCAGTCTTCTATCCTATGTCTTGTGCTGAAAGGAAGTCTTTCACATCTCTAATCTTTCTATGATTATGTCAAGTTCTTCATCCAAGAACATTATACCATCACCTTATTGGCCTCACTCATTTTATTATGCCTCACTCCATGACTCCCCAAAACTTATGAAAGCATTCCCCTCCAAATGCCCCAAATACCTTCTACATTAGATTGTAAACTGGATGGAGGAGAGATACAACCTATAAAGGCACAGCCTTTGGGCCACTGGTTTCACTTCATATTAAATTAGTTTTTTGATAAAACTCAAAATGGCCTTCTGGGAAAGCCACCTTTTATTAGGATTTATTTTAAAACAATTTTCTTGCTTTAGTTTAGAAGTTTTGGTACAAAACAGAACTTAAAGATATTTAAGAAAGTACTTGTTTGAGTTGTAGATCTCATGTGATTGTTGAATTCAAATGAATCCTTTGGTTAAGAAATGCTTTAAGAAATAAAGTGAAAGATTTGTCAATACTGATCTCTAAAATTTATTTCTTAACTCTGAGAAAGTCACCTCACCCATCAACAGGATAATGCCTAATTAATTTTATATAGGGTTATTTTGAGTATTAAATGAGATAAACTTGTATAAGAACTTTGAACACCACAAATGTAGGGGACATGGTATTATTTATTCAGACTCTTACTTTCTTAGGTAATTTGCAAATCCTGAAAACTATTTCCTAAGATGTTTGACTACACATTTGTTCCCCCTTTTTGGGAAAAATTAGTCCCAGAAATGATCAGCTTTTCTCTTTTTCATATTCTTTGTATTTAGATTAACAAAAGCAGTGGCATTGTGGAAGCATCACGGATCATGAATTTATACCAGTTTATTCAACTTTATAAAGATATCACAAGTCAAGCAGCAGGAGTATTAGCACAAACCTCCACCTCTGAAGAACCTGATGAAAGCTCATCCTCTGTAACATCTTGTCAGGCTAGTTTTTGGATGGGAAGGTATATAATGCATAATTACTGTATTTCACTTTTTTTTCCAATATGCAAACAACTAAAATCTTACTAATATTTTTGCTGGTGCTGACTTTAGCATCTTAAATCTTTTTTTTCTTAGTTGGTATTGTATCTGAGATCAGTTTTGGAGTTATTCTGTGCTTCGGATGTTGTTACAGTGCTAAACTAAAGTGGCTTGGATAGGTGTGGTGGCTCACACCTGTAATCTCAACATTTTGGGAGGCTGAGGTGGGTGGATCATCTGAGGTGAGGAGTTTGTGACCAGCCTGACCAACTTGGTGAAACCCTGTTTCTACTAAAAAAAAAAAAAAAATTACAGAATTAGCTGGGTGTGGTGGCACATGCCTGTAGTCCTAGCTACTTGGGAGGCTGAGGCAGAAGAATCACTTGAACTCAGGAGACAGAGGTTGCTTTAACTGAGATCATGCCATCGTACTTCAGCATGGGCAATAAGAGCAAAACTCTGTCTCAAAAAAAATAAATAAAGTGGCTCATATCAGTTAATGTTTCTGTCACACAAGTCTCCAGGAATCCACTCTATATGCATGCATTACAAAGGAGATCGTTAACACCCTCCTTATAATAGTTATTTAAGTTCTTAGACAGTCAAAGCTTTTTAGGGAATTAGGTCCAAGAATTTTGCAAAATCATCCGGTTTTTCTTACAAATGTCTAATTGAAGCATTAAAATTTTAAATATTGGCTTCAGAACTTGGCAGTCCAGAAATGAACCAAATGCATATTCTGAATTACCAGAAGGGAATGAAGTCAGCCAGAGTTTTCTCTGATGGTGCTTGTTTACTCAGGCCTAATACATTATTGTTCTATCTAAACTTTCTTTTCCTTCTCTGTTTTGCTTTTGGCACATGAAAGCTCCCAGCTCTTGCCATTCAACAATCATGATCATAATTTAAATTTGTAAATGTCTCATTGGAAAAAGATTTACATGGATCCAAACATGTTGACATCCGTCTTGCTGTCATACTGGGTGTATAGCAGAAATCTGTATTCACTGTGTCCTTTACTTTAAATTTAAGAATGTGCTTAACAGTGATTTCTTTTTTACTGCTCTTTTTACACTTGCATTTTCTGGTTCATTTTTAATTAACTGGTTTTCAAGTACTGTGTTTCAGTTAAACTGTATTTTCCATTTATTATTTCCTGGTTATCTTTAAGAGAGTTATTTGGTTTTCTAGGTTTGGGCTTATGCAAGTGTTACCAATATGCCAAGTGACTTTTAGAACATTGTAGGCAGTATTTAGGCTTGTCTTTCCTGTATTCTGTAATCTTTCAAAGGCAGGGGTCTGATTTTTCTGCTTTTCTTCTCCTCTCTTCTGAATAATGGTTATTATTTCAATTGTTTTAAAAGCTGAGGATGGTGTTTGCCAATGTATTTAAGCTATATGGTAGCACATGAAAATATTTTTTCTTGTTGCAGTCTTCTTTTTTTTTTAGACGGAGTTTTGCTCTTGTTTTACCCAGGCTGGAGTGCAATGGCACGATCTCAGCTCACCGCAACCTCCGCCTCCTGGGTTCAGGCAATTCTCCTGCCTCAGCCTCCTGAGTAGCTGGGATTACAGGCACACACCACCATGCCCAGCTGATTTTTTGTATTTTTAGTAGAGACGGAGATTCACCATGTTGACCAGGATGGTCTCGATCTCTTGACCTCGTGATCCACCCACCTCAGCCTCCCAAAGGGCTGGGATTACAGGTATTAGCCACCGTGCCTGGCCCTGTTGCAGTCTTCTTAATGAAGCAGGTAAAGGTGTTAGCACTTTGCTGTGCCCTCAAAACTGGAAACTCAGTTCCTGATTAGTTTCTTAGGGGTGCTTCTTGTTTATGTATGGTTTTTGGCTTATAATAATATCCTTATACACTACTTCATAGAAAGACTTTCTAAGTTGAAGGAGGTCTTAAGGGACATTTATGTAGTTGAGCTTTATTTACATCTGATGCATAGTTCCACTGATGGTTTACATTTATTGATTACTTAGAGGGTGTAGAATTGTCATGATGTGATGAATGTTGGCTGATAGTTGTAATCCCATATGGGGTTGTGAGAATTTAAGTAATTTATACATTAAATTCTCACAACTCCATATGGGAGTACAATTATCGGCCCATTTCAGCCAAAGAATCTGAGGTTTAGCTGAATAAATGTCATGATTAGAAATTGTCCTAGCTGAGACTCACATTCAGGCCTGTCTGGCAGTACAGCTGTGCTCTAACCTCTGCATTATTACTTTCTGGTGCATAAAGATCTTGCACACAGAGCTTCTCAAACTTTAATATTAAGTGGTTTTGAGGAGGAGCCAGTGAGTCTGTCAGGCTCCCAGGTAAGGCCAATGTCGCTAATCCTCAGATGGCACTTTGAATAGCAAGACTCTGCTTACCCACATTTTGCCAAGTCCAACTTATACAAGTAATACCTGCAGTTATGTGAGACTCACTGCCTCAAAAAAGTAAGCCTCTTCATAATCAGATGGCTTTAATCACTATAAAGTTTTTCCTTTTGCTTCATTTTCTTCAGAGTAGCCAAAATCTTTCTTAAAGTAGCACAGCACAGACTCTAGCAGCAAAGTGCCTGTGTTCAAATCCTGGGCTCCACTCCTGTGTGATTTTTTTTGACAAAGCAAACTGTTTCCTCAGTTTTCTCATCTTCTAACAGAGGTTAATAACTATAGGATATGCTTTATCGGACTGTTGAGAGAGTTAAAAGACATAAGGTGTTTAGAACAGTGCTTGGCACGTAATAATTAGTCTATAAGGGTTAAGTGTCATTATTATTAAATTGTTACTATATTCCATTTATTGCTTTCAATGGCTGTGCCCTCTGGAATTCCTCCAGACAAATCTGTTCTCTCTTCCAGCTTCTCAGATATTTGAAAACAGTCATCAAATTCTCACTGAGCCTTCTGTTCTCAAAGATAAGCACCACCAGTTCCTTTGGCCTTTGTTTATGTGGGTCTCATCTACATACTGGAAGCTTTCCCAGATTTTTTTTTTCTGTCAGTATGCGTGCCTTTCAGAGTATGAGGCATAAAACCAAATACTCCAATCTACAGGTGATCTAACAGGAACAAACAGCACAGGACTCTCCTTCCTTCTGGTCACTGTGCTGCTAGGAAGGTAGCAGAAAATTCAGAGAACCTTGTACTGGTTCCACTGGCTATTTCTGTGTCTCCCATTCTTTTATGTCTCTCCACAATGCTCTTCTTTGTAATCCTCTGTTTCTCACTTTTAAACTCAAGCCTTCAGAATATTTTATCACTCTGTACGGATTCAGTTATAGTCTTTGCTACTGACACCCAAGCCAACATCCTTAGATAAAGATTGTAAGCTCCTTAAAGGTGGAAACCCTAATTCTTCTGGGTCTGGTACAGACCTAAAAGGCACTTACATGTTGAACTGAAAATATACATATACATACATACATACATACATACATACATATATAAAATATGAAACTCAGATACATTAGGCCCACATCCATCTAGATTTTTATTGTTTTCCAATTCAGTGGCTGCCCTCTTTTCCCTGTTACTAAAGCATAAAACTTAATCTATTACCATATAAAACATTTGTCTTCTATAATGCTTCTTAGACCTAATTATCTCTCAGATGAATTGCTGAAATAAGGCCGTAACCAGTTTTCCTTTCTCTAGACTGCCCCTCATACTGCATTCCCAATTAATCTTCCTAAAGTACCATTTCAGTGAAAGTTTACTACCCCTTGATTATACAGTGGTTCTAATTTGCTTGTCAGAACATGTTCAAACTTAGTATTTTGAACATTTAAAGGTGAGATTATCTCCACTTTAATCTTTTTCTCCAGTTTTTATACCCAAGCATCATGCCAGCTTCCTGGTTACATATACACAGTATACAAAGGCATAAACACACATGATTTTTCTTTTAACCTCTACAGCTTGGTTTATGCACCTAGCATGTCCTCTATTAAAATGCTATTATTTTTCTATCTCATCTTTTCAACAAGTTTGAAATATATTCATCTCTTCCTTCTTTACTTAGTGATTACTATATTTAATATACATTTGACATTTATTTTTATTTATGTTCAAATCAAAATTTTAAGTACTATCTCAAGCACAGCAGCGAATGAAAAACCTATAGTGATAGCTCCTACCCTTAAGAAGTTTATAATCTAGTGGCTATACTTTGAAACATTCAGTTTCGTACGATTACAAAAGTAATACGTGTTTGATGAAGAAAACCTTAAAAATTACAAAAAAGCACAAAGTTTAAAAGAAATTAAAATCAAGAAACATTTATTGAAAATCTAAGACAAACATGCATATTCAAAGAGATTACGGTTTATGGAGAGATCAGCCAATCAATATGCAATATTTAAGTCCTTTAATTGAGGCAAATGTTGATTTTGAGGGCAGAGAGATGATGTTTTGAGCTGAGTAACTGAGGTTGGAGCTTACTAAACTCACAGGGCAATTTCAGGAACAGAAAATACCATGTCCAAAGGCATATAGCTCATTCAGGGGCACTCTGAATTGTGGCTGGAGCAAATGGTTTGAAATCTTTTTTCGTTTTTTTTCTCAAGAAGATGGAAGAGCTCCTCGAGGACAGAAACTGCTTTCTATTCCCTTGTGTCACTTAAGACTAAGCTATTCTTTTGCTTATATGCCCGTTACCAGTGTCAGCATTTTAAGGCCCCGATGGCAGGATCCATATTTTAGGGAGCTTTGTATTACACATAGTGAATAAATTACATGGTCATGAATCACCTAACAATGTTTTGGTCAATGACAGACTGCATATATGATGGTGGTCCCATAAGATTGTATTGGGGCTGAAAAATTCCTATTGCCTACGGATGTCATAGCCATCCTGATGTTGTGAGGCAATGCATTACTCAAATGTTCCTGGTGATGCTGGTATATAAACAAACCTACTGTGCTGCTCATAGTATAAAAGTGTAGCACTTACAGTTATGTACAGTAATACTTGATAATAACTATGTTACTGGCTTATGCATTTATTATACTATTTTATCATTATTTTAGCATCTACTCCTTCTACTTATTAAAAAAAAGGTAGCTGTAAAACAGCCCAGGCAGGCCCTTCAGCAGGTATTCCAGAAGAAAGCATTGTTATCAAACGAGATGACAGCTCTGTGCATGTTACTGCCCCTGAAGACCTTCCAGTGGGACAAGAGGTGGAGGTTGAAGACAGTGACAGTGATAATGATGATCCTGACCCTGTTTAGGCCTAGACTAATGTGTGTGTTTGTGTCTTAGTTTTTAAGAAAAAAGTTTAAAAAGTTAAAAAAATCTTAAAAATAGAAAAAAGCTTATAAAATAAGAATATTTCTGTACAGCTATAAAATATGTTGGTGTTTTAAGGTAAATGTTATTACAAAAAGTCAAAAAGTTAAAAAAATTAAAAAGTTTGAAAAGTTAAAAAAAACTATAGTAAGTTAAGGTTAATATTTAAGAGAAAAATATATTTTTATAAATTTAGTGTAGCCTAAGTGTACAGTGTTCATCAAGTCTGTATACTACTATACAAGTGGTATACGTTTCTAGGCCAAGCTTGTCCAACTTGTGGCCTATGGGCTGCTTGCAGCCCAGCATGGCTTTGAATGTGGCCCAACACAAATTTGTAAACCTTCTTAAAACATACTATGAGATTTTTTTTTTTTTGCAATTTTTTTTTTTTTTAAGCTCCTCAGATATTGTTAGTGTTAGTGTATTTTATATGTGGCCCAAGAAAGACAGTTCTTCCAGTGTGGCCTAGAGAAGCCAAAAGATTGGATGCTCCTGTCCTAGGCCTTCACATCCACTCATCGCTACTCACTCCCTCACTCACTCACTAGAGCAACTTCCAGGCCTGCATGCTCCGTTTATGGTAAGTGCCCTATACAGGTGTACCATTTTTAATCTTTTATACCATATTTACACAGTACCTTTTCTGTGTTCAGATATATTTAGATACACAGATACCCACCATTGTGTTACAGTTGCCTACAGTGTTCCATACAGTAAAATGCTGTACATGTTTGTAGCCTAGGAGCAATAGGCTATGCCATATAGCCTAGGTATGTACTAGGTGAAACCATCTAGGTTTATATACGTACACTGTGATATTTACACAGCAACGAAATCACCTAACAATGAGTTTCTCAGAGCGTATCCCTGTTTTTAAGTAATGCAACAACTATATTGGTTAAATTTGTTTGTATAGATCCAATATGATTAAAATGAGTTATTTCCAGAAAGATTCGACTATTTCCACTTTTTGCCTATATTTTCTTTTCTTTGTCACAAAATGTATCTTTTATTTAGTCTTTATGAAATGTACCTCTCTTAATACTTCTTCCCTAATATATTTTCTCATCCCTAAAAGATAAGTTAATTTTACTCTGATTTTGCACGGGAGTCATATTGTGCTTTATACCATGGGCACATAGATGTTTAATAATGCTTTTTAAAGCAACACAAAGCAAAGTAGAAAGCTTAATGACAGAGAATATCATTATTTCAGCTCAGTTTTCACATTGCAGGGTAAAGCAGCTGACTGATGAGGAGGAGTGTTGTATCTGTATGGATGGGCGAGCTGACCTCATCCTGCCTTGTGCTCACAGCTTTTGTCAGAAGTGTATTGATAAATGGTAAGTTAACTACTGCCTTCATGGAATAGGCCAAGGTCAATGGGATAGTGTACATGAATAAACTTTGAAAAGTGCAAAAATACTGTAGTTAAGTATGAGAGTAATTTTTATTCTTTAGTACTTTGAATTTTATGGCATGACTTCTACTGGTTAAAAATATTTTTATTTTTACACCTAACATTTATTATATGTGGGGGTGTAGCTTAATTTTTGACACTTTTCTTTTGCTGTATGAAAATTTGTACCTGACTTGAGACTAAAATCAAACATTTCCCTTTTTCCTCCTTTTTTCTCCTCATTTCACCATTTATTCTGTATGTGTGCTTAGAAGGAATAAATCCTTGAATACTCGACCTAATCAGCTAGTTAAATTCATTATTTTACAAAATAAGATGTGAGCATCTAGGATAATTTATAAAATACATAAAATAAATTACATGTATTTAATGTATAATTTGTTTAAACATATATCTACCCCTATAAAAACTATCACCACAATCAAGATAGTGAACATCTCCATAACTCCTAAAAGTTATGCCCCATTTTAAAGCCTTCTTTCCACTTCTTTCCCCCAGTCCCCAGGCAACCAGTAATCGCTATAAAATAATCTGGATTTTCCAAAATTTTTATAAATGGAATCATAATATGTGCTTTTTTGGTCTGGCTTCTTTCATTCAATATAATTATCTTGAGATTTGTCCATGTTGTAGTATATATCAATAGTTCATGCCTTTTTATTGCTGAGTAATGTCTATTAAGTGGCTACCATAGCTTGTTTATCCATTCACCTTTTGAGGGAAATTAGATTGTTTTCCATGTTAAAGCTACTAGATACATTCATGGACAAGTCATTTTTATGGATGTATTTTGGTTTTTTCCTTGGGTGAATACCTGCAAGTGGAACGGCTACATCATACGGTAGGTGTATGTTTCACTTTAAAAAAAAAACTGCCAGCTATTTTCCAAAGCAGTCGTGCCATTTTGCATTCCCACTAGCAGCATATGAGAGTTCTAGTTGCTTTAAGTCCTTGGCCAGTATTTGGTATGGTTTAATTTCAGACATTTTAATAGGTGTGTAGTAATATCTCATTGTTGTTTTAATTTGCATTTTCCTCCTAACTGAAGATGTTGAGCACCTTTTCATATGCCAGTTTACCATCTGTGCGTCTTCTCTGGTGAAGAGTACATCCAAATCTTTGCGCATTTCTTTATTGGATTTTTTTCCCATATTATTGCATTTTGAAAGTTCTTTGTATCCTGGATATATGTCCTTTATTAGATACGTGGTTTGCAAATATTTTCTCCCACTCTGTGGCTTGTCTTTTCATTCTCTGAAGGATGTCTTTCAGGGAGTAGAAGATGTTAATTTTGTTGTCCAATTTATCAGTCTGTGATTTGTAGATAGTGATTTTAGTGTCATATCTTTTCTTAGGTTTCTTTTCCTAACCAAAGATCACAAAGGTTTTTTTTCTGTCTTCCAAAGTTTTATAATTTTTTAGTTTTACAATCTATTTTGAGTTAATTTTTTATATGGTATGAGTTACGGAATCAAATTTCTTTTTTTTAAATTTCTTTGTTTTTTGCATTTGGCTGTCCAGTTGCTCCAGCACAATTTGCTGAAAGGCTATCTTCACTAAATTGCCTCTGCACCTTTGTTGAAAATGTGGGCCTATTTCTAGACTGTTCTGTTTTGTTGACCTGTTTCACTAGTTTACACCAATACTACCTTGATTAGTGTAGCTTTATAATAAGTCTTAAAATCAGGATGTGTTAATTTTTCTACTTTGTTCTTTTTCAAAGTTGTTTTGTCTGTTCTAGGTCTTTTGCATTCCAATATGAATTTTAGAATCAGCTGATCAATTTCTGCCAAAAAGCAGAATTGATTGGGATTGCATTGAATAAATACATCAATTTAGGGAGAGTGAATTTCTTACTAGTGAGTCTTTCTATCCACATACACAGTATATTTCTCCATTTATTTAGGTCTTTAATTTCTCTCACCAATTTTTATAGTTTCCAGTGTTGCATATCTTTGATATTTATCCCCAGGTATTTCATATTTTTAAGATGCTTTAAATGGTATTTAAAATTTTCAATTTGTGATTGATACTAGTGTACGGAAATACAGTAGACTTTTGAATATCAACCTGTATCCTGCACCCTTATTAAATTCATGTATCAGTTCTGGTAGTATTTTTGTAGATTCCATAGGATCTTCTTGAACGTCCGAATATCATTTTTCAAAGTGTTTTTCTGATTTAGAATTCTAAACTTTATTTTTTCTTTCAGTATGTTAATGATGTTGCTTCATACTCGCTTGCATTGTTTCTAATGAGAACTCTGTCATCCTTTTTTCCTCTGTAGGTAATGTGCCATTTTTTCCCCCTCTGTTTTTAAGGTTTTTTTCTTTTCACTGGTTTTGAGCACTTTGATTATGAGGTGCCTTACAATAGTTTTTTTCGTGTTTCTTGTGCTTGAGGTTCACTGAGCTTCTTGGATTAGATTTATAATGTCATAAAGTTTGGAGATTTTTTGGCAATTTTTTTTTTCAGATTTTTTTTTTCTATCTTCTCTCCCCTCTGCTGTGATTCCAATTACCGTATATTAGCCCACTTGAAGTTGTACCACAGCTCACTGGTGCTATTTTTCTTCTTTTTTTTTCTCTCTCTCTCTCTTTTGAGTTTCTCTGGGTTTCATTTTGGATAAACTACTGGGTTTCATTTGGATAGTTACTATTGGGTTTCATTTGGATAGATACTCTTTTCATATTTACCGGTCTTTTTTTTCTTCGCTGTCTAACTTGCCGTTAATTCCATCTAGTGTATTTTTTTTTCTGCGGTACTTGTGATTTTTTTTTTTATTACTGTACTTTAGGTTCTAGGGTACATGTGCAGATCATGCAGGATTATTGCATAGGTACATACATGGCAAGGTGGTTTGCCGCCTCCATCCCTCATCACCTATATCTGTCATTTCTCCCCTTGTTATCCCTCCCTGACCTCTCCCCACTCCCACTCACTGTTTCTCCCTTAGTCCCCTCCACAGCAGATCCCAGTGTGTGATGCTTCCCTCCCTGTGTTCATGTGTTCTCATTGTTCAACATCTGTCTATCAGCGAGAACATGCAGTATTTGGTTTTCTATTCCTGTGTCAGTTTGCTGAGAATGATGGTTTCCAGATTCATCCGTGTCCCTGCAAAGAACATGAACTCATCTTTTTTTATGGCTGTTTAGTATTCCGTGGTGTATATGTGCCACATTTTCTTTGTCCAGTCTATCATTGATGGGCATTTGGGTTGGTTCCAGGTCTTTGCTATTGTAAACAGTGCCTCAATGAACACACGTGTGCATGTGTCAGTGTATTTTTTTTAACCTCAGATAATTTTTTATTTCTAGAAGTTTGATTGAGTTTTTATTATCTTCCATGTCTCTTCTTAATATCTTTGATCATTCCTCTAGTTTTTTTAACTATATAGAATATGGTTACAATAACTTTCCATTTTATCTGTTAATCCTAATATCTCTTAGTTCTGGGTGGTTGTGATTGTGATTGATTTTTCTCTTCATTATAGGTTATATATTTCTGCTGCTTCTTTGTATGTCTGGTAGGTCTCAGTTGGATGCCAGACTTTGTGAATTTTACCTTTTTGGATATTGGATATTTTTGTATTGCTATAAATATTCTTGAGCTTTTTTCTGGAATATAATTAAGTGACTTGGAAACAGTTTGATTCTTTTGGATCTTACTTTTGTGATTTTTTAGGCAGGACCACAGCAGTATTTAGAACTAATTATGTCCCACTAATAGCAAGACCCTTAAGAGAACTCTTACTAATGCCCAAAGAGTGATGAGCCTTTCCAGTCTGGCTGGTGGAACAAGCAGTATCCCAGGCCCACTGAGCTTTAGGGTACTATCCCTTCAAAGCCCTTTGACTGATTGCTCAGCCTCAGGTAGTGTCCTCACATGCACACTCTGATCAGCACTCTGCTGAGTATTCTGGCAGGGATGCTTCTGTAGACCTCTGGAATTTTCCCTCTGTGCAGCTTTCCATTACTCTGCCCTGTAAACTCTAGCTGCTTGGTCCCCTGAGATTCTCAGCTCTGTCTGTTCAGCTCAAGAAGTTTGCCATGTTCCATCAAGGTTCCTCCTTCTTGATCAGGGGATAGAAACTCTCAAGGCTCTAAGCTGGGGCAAGTATAGATCTCATCTTCTTTGCCTCCCATGTCCCAGGGATCACTTGTCCTTCGTTGCCTGATGGCCAGTGAGACTGTATTTGAAAAATTATATGAAACCATTGTTTTAGTAATTTTAAGTGGAAAGATAAATCTAGCCTCGGTTGGAAGCAGAAGCTGACTATTTTTAAATTGTGATGTTTTGTGCACAGAAGATCACACATCTAATTATCTTTTAAAATATCTCTAAGGAGCCAGAAATCAACCTAAATAATATATGCCAACTCTAGCTTTCACATTTAGTTTTTGGAACAAAGTTCTAAAAATTTTTGCCTGAAAGCCAAAAGCAGTTGATATAAATAATTACTTTGGTCCCAGATTTCACAGAGATTAAAAGAAAAACATCCCTGCATGATATGTCTCTGGTTCAAATATGGTATTTTTTAAATTTCCAAAATAATGTTTGATAAGAAAAAAAATCCTTTTGGAAAACATAATCTTATTTAAGTGATCATATTTGAGTTCTTTCCCTGTCAGAAAAAGTATTATGCATGTAAAGTTTATCTTTTATTTTAAACTTTGTATGCTCCATTTTTATACAAATCATCCTGTTGCCTATGAGCCATAAGAATTTTTGTCAGACTTTTAAGCAGGCAACAGATAATATTGTTGAAAGTCATGTATATATTACTTAGCAAAATAGTAATATCCTTTCCTATTGTCATATTCCCTTTCTACTGCCAAGAAGTTATTTCTAGAGTAATGGCTTCCATTTAAATAATCACAAATGTAAGCATTTATACTTGACACTTTGACCAAATCTTCCAGGGTGAGAGGGAGATTCCTCTTAGAACTCACAAGGAGTTTTGATTTTAAAGGAAAACTTTACCTGTTTAGGTATAGGGATGTGAACTGCTGCATCGTTTATAGCAACAAAAGAGAAAAAAATGAAATGTCCTGTGGGAGACTAAACAACTTATGGCATAGCTATACAATGTATGTTAAAAAGAATGGTCTATAAGATACTGACAAGTAGAGCAGTGATGTGTGTGTGTACCTGTACGTGTACACACATGCACATGCATCTGTGTATACATAAGCTTAATCAAGTTCAGTCTATCTCTAGAGGAATATAAGAAACTGGTAACTGTGGTTGCCCCTGGGAAAGAGAATTGAAAATTGAGATGGGAAGGAGAGATTTATTTTTCACTGTATACTTTTGTGCTATTTCCTTTTTAAAAGACATGTACATGTATTACTTTTAAAAATCCTGTTTTTAAAAAAGGAAAAAGAAAACAAACTATTCTTGTTTTGACTTCTCTACTAGGAGTGATCGACACAGGAATTGCCCTATTTGTCGCCTGCAGATGACTGGAGCAAATGAATCTTGGGTGGTATCAGATGCACCCACTGAAGATGATATGGCTAACTATATTCTTAACATGGCTGACGAGGCAGGCCAGCCCCACAGGCCATGACCTTGGAGTGAAGGTCTTCTGTTGCTATTGTAGGCTACAAATATTTGATCATGGGGGAAGAACGCAAGGTTGTGGCACAGACACAGAAAAATCCATTTTCCCCACCCTTTTATTTTTGCTATTCTGATCATTTGTCCCACTTTAAAAGATAAACCTCCCATGTCTTCCATTTATGGTAAACTAAAATTTGCTACTGTTTTAGACTATATTTTCCTATTATTTATCTGTTCAAATTTGTATTACAATTAATTGCTCCTGAATTATTTGCCAAAGGTAACAGCAGCACTTCCAGAGGCTTCTGAAACACTACTGTTTTGTGGGGCAGGAGTATTCTGGAATCTTTTTAGTTAGCTATAAAATAAACCTCAAATATTAAAAAGTTGTAGCTATCTGAGAGAGGAAATTTTAAGTGACTGAAAATGTAGAATACATCAAAGTGCATGTTACTACTTAAAACTAGTGTTTCTGCTGGAATCTAAGGAGTATATATGCCCCCTTGTGGTTAATTATTGCTCCTTTAATTTTTACTTGAAATGATCCACAATTATTTCATAACTTTAGCAGTGTGTTTTGGAATTACTGTACTTAAAGATTTTTTTGTTTGTTTGTTTTTGCCATACTGTATAATTTGGGTGAGGCCTATAAAGTTGGGTGTGACTTTCCCTTGCAAATGGATATTTCTCCTGGGGAATTTTCTTGGCTGTTCTGGAAATGCTTTCCCACAGCTGCATAACTGTTCTAAATGGCTTTGATAATGCTCACACATCTTGGAGTTTCAGAAGGTAACTTTTCTGCATCACAGATACCAAATTTTGTATTTCTAAATGATTATAAGTCATTTAATATTGGTTTATGGTGCTTTTTTCCCCCTTAACTTGAAAACATCTTTCTGAGATTTCAGGGTCCTCAAATTTGATAGATTAAGAGACAAGAGGCCAGCATGGTGGCTCACACCTGTATTCAGAGCACTTTGGGAGGCCAAGGTGGGTGCATCACTTGAGGTTAGTAGTTTCAGACCAGCCTGGCCAACATGGTGAGACCCTGTCTCTACTAAGATACAAAAACTAGCTGGGCCTGGTGGCAAGCACCTGTGATCTCAGGTACTCAGTAGGCTGAGGCAGGAGAATTGCTTGAACCTGGGAGGTGGAGGTTGTAATGAGCCAAGATTGTGCCACTGCACTCCAGCCCGGGAGGCAGAGCGAGACTCCTTGTCAAAAAAAAAAAAAAAAAAAAAGGACAAGAAAATAGAGTGATGCTTTTTTACCATATATACATAAAGTACATCTGAAAATTAGAAGATAATTTGGCATTCTTGCTGTTTCACTGTACTTCCATTGAAATATTCTTTCCATTAAAATAGTCTAAAAGAATATAGTAATAATGGAATTGTGATCTTCAGTCACAACCATTTTTTTTTGCTTATCAACTAAATTTCTAACATTAATATTTTGGCATGTAATAAAACAAGGGCCTGCCTTCTTTAAAATTTAACATCCCATGTAACTTTTCTGACTTCTTCATAAGTTGCAAATATTACTATTTTCCTAAACCAGGGTCCACAATTTAAGTTGCCACTGATTGATGACAGAATTTTTGGATAATAGGATTTTAATAGGCAAGCAAATAAAATTAAATCAATTTCAAGGAAAAACATCTGGTATTTCAAGGTAGCTTGAAATTTCAAATTCCAAGGTAGCTTGATCTTGCCCCAGAAAATGCTGAAGACTAATCCATTGACATTCATAATGGGACAGCTAAATACCAAATAGCTAACTACTCCCTATGGAGGTTTATGCAAGCAGAGCACCAGGGGTTCCATCATATCAACCTAGCAATGCACTTGGTGGTTGTGTGACCTTGAGAAAGTCTCTTACTGTTGTTTGTAGGTTCCTACTTTATTTGTGGTTTTCCCACTATGTCAGCAGCAAAAACTTTTTTTTCAAGGAAAATCTTACAGAACCCTTAAACACACATGCATACACACACATCCTACCCCCCTATATAAAAGTCATATTTTATTATAAATTTTCTTATTTATTGTATAAACTTTATATACTATAAATATGATTAAGTCAACCAATAAAAACACATTAATGCATTGGTAATAGCCAGTATGTCTGAATTTAGTGAGTACCACACTTGTATAATGGGAGTTGTTTTTTAAAAAAATTTTTTTTAATTCAAGTCAAATTTGCAGAACCCTGTATCTCCTCCATAGATTCTTAGTATTCCATGGAACATATTTTGAAAACCTTGGGATAGATGATCCATGATCCACTGGGATCTTTTCCAGCTCAAAGATTTTAAATTGTCCTTTTGGATTAGACTTGCTGAGTTTAATTCAGATTGCCTCCTGAATGTTTCTGAAATGTGAACAAAGTTACCTTACAGAGTTTTGCATCTTTCCAGGGATAGCCAATGATTTTATCCCCCAGAATCTTTCACCTTTCAAGGAAATGAGACCAGTGACTCAACAGGGCCCAAACCTTTTTATTTTACAATATGAGCTCCAAGACACTTACTGATCTACTGTGAATATAAAATATTAGCCTTATCAAATATCAAATAAATGAATACAGCTCTTTGTTCACTCTACTAAACTGGGTGATAATTCTTTAGATGTGACTGTTAGGTAGGTTCTACTGTAATAACATCGTAAAAGTTGTAAATTTGTTTGATGGATGAAATGTACACTTTTTGTATTCTGTACAGCTCTGTCTTTTTTAAATATGAAGTACTTAAATGTACTTAGTATAAATGTACTTACTATAATAGGAAATATAATGTGTGCCTTCTAGGATTTGTGAAGTGGTTTCATGAGCTCTAAGGAATTTGTTTTGTAAGTTATAAAGTTTTCCCTATCCTAACTCAGTAACAGAGGGTTTACTCCGATTATGTATAGAACCTTAGTTTGAGAAAATGAATTTGACTATGTACTGAATTTAGAGGTTGAGAATAATAGTATCTGTGTTATTCTTAGGACCACTGATAAATTATGCAATAAATAATCATTCGCAAGTAATTTTAGCTAATCAAAGAGATTCTTTTCTTATGTAATTTCACATTATAATATACCAAATGATTATATTCCTTAGAGGACTATTTTATATTGTGCTCTTGGGGTTTGTGATGTTTGTGTGCCGTTTTAAAATTCATTTCAAATTGTACTCGATTTCCTTATGTCTAATACATATCTGGGAGAAAGGCTGCTTGAAAATACCTTTTGATTCAGTGATTTTCAACATTGGGAGGTTGAGTTTATTAAAAGATAGTCTGAATCATTTGCATTTTTAACTGTTAGTGTCTTAAGCTTACTTTGTCTATCCAGGAATAAGAAAACTACTTGGAGATGGCCAGACAGAGTGGCTGACGCCTATTACAGGCTTTGAGAGGCCGAGGCAGGCAGATCACGAGGTCAGGAGTTTGAGAACAGCTTGGCCAACATGGTGAAACCCCATGTCTACTAAAAATACAAAAATTAGCCTGGTGTGGTAGTGCATGTCTGTAATCCTAGCTACTTGGAGGCCAAGGCAGGAGAATCTCTTGAACACAGGAGGTGGAAGTTGCAGTGAGCTGAGGTTGCAGTGAGCTGCAATTGCACCACTGCGCTCCAGCCTCGGGGACAGAGCAAGACTCCGTCTCAGGCAAAAAAAAACTACTTGGAATTAGGGAATTCAGCAGGTCGCTCACATTTATGCTGGGCAACACAATGACAGTATCATATAAACATAAGCAGCTGACAATAGACTCATTTTTTGTTATATCTTTTTACCCTGCTGCAGTGGTTCTCAACCTTTTTGGCACCAGGGACTGTTTTCATGGAGGACCATTTTTCCACAGATCTGGGGTGGTGTGGGCATAGTTTCAGGATGAAACTGTTCCACCTCGGATCATCAACCATTAGTTAGAGTCTCATAATGTGCAGGCACCCTAGATCCCTTGTATGCACAGTTCACAAGAGAGTTCACGTTCCTTGAGAAAGTAATACTGCCACTGATCTGACAGGAGGTGGAGCTTAGGCTGTAATGCTCACTCGCCCACCACTCAACTCCCGCTGTGCGGCCCAGTCCCTAACAAGTGGCAGATGGTACTGTCCACAGCCCAGGGGTTGTGGACCCCTACCCCAACAGACAGTAAAAATAAGAAAATGCTCAACCCTATTGTAGTTTGTTTACCTTGCAAAATCATTCCAAAATATAAGAATGTAATTTGAGAAACACTGTAGAATCTTAGTGCTGAAAAGTGCAAAGACATAAGAATGAATGACAGTTGATAGTTAATTTGCTGATACCGTACTGTGGAGAAATTCACATTTTACTGAAAAGATATAAAAGCCTTTGCAGAGATAGGTTTTGATAATCTTGCAGTTGTTTATAGTCTAAAATTTCCAAGGAAGTATGTGTATCTGGTTAGTATTCCTTTTATTGGAATTAGTTATACTTGTTCTTTATAATGGTCATAGTTCAGTCATAGAATATTTGGATATATCACCTTCAGTCTTGTCTGAAACCCAGGAAATGAAGACTATTGTTTCACCAACACTCAGAAGAGAAAGCAAGAGAGATGTGCCTTCAGCTCTTTTCTAATCCAAGAGGCCATGATAAATATCAACCCAGGAGTTGTGATTTGTTTTCATGAGGCAAAGAGAAATGATGTCGATCGTTTCAACAATACAATTTGAAGTAACACGTAAAGTGAACTTGAGCCCTTAAGGGTAAGGGATAACATGCTTCAAAACATGTTCCTTTAGAAATCTGAGGCAATATACAATTAATTGCCATTTATTCCAATTGCAAACACAAAGGAAAGTAGGGATTTGTCCCAAATAGGCCAATTAAGTATAACAATGTAATAAAAGCACAAAGTGCTATAGAAAAGATGTCTGAAAAGCTTACAGGACAGGTAAACTCCAATAGGTGTTAGCTGGACAGACTAAAATAATATCCTGGGAAGAGGAAATGAACATGCATAGCTTTGCTCATGAACTATAATGGTAGAAAGAGAAAATGATAGCGAAGATGTATCTTCTGGGTCTAGTGAGCTTCAGTTTGAAAATTTTGTTTTCCTAGCGAATGTCATTCATGTCTGAGTCTTAGTAAAAGATAAGCTAGCTGTTATTATTGATAGCTTTTCATGGTGCCCAATCTTAGAGTAAAAAAATCTTCTAACATTTGCTTTAAATATGATTATCTTGAAATAGTTTTAAATTATTGAGCCACAGTCCTAACAGATTTTATTTAACAAATTAAAAAAAGATACCTGATACAGATAAAATGACAGTGAGAAACTACACAGTACTTCCTATGTTAGGGCAAATGTTTACAAATGGGAGCTTTTCAAAAATAATCCCTAAGATAACAATGGATTTTTATTCAATATCATAATTTAGCTTCAAGATAGCATATATATTTGCCTAGTAAAAATACTGCATTTATAGTTCCATATGCTGAGTTCACAAGACGAGATAATCTAAAGTCAAATAAGTTCACAGGCAGAAATAGGGTTCTTCTAACTATAATGATGCAAAAAAGGCCTCCTGTAGTCTGAATTTGACTGCAGAAATAGGTTATAGTTGAGCAGCCTCTTGAGTACTAAGAGCACATGTCCTTAAAATGTTGCCAAAAGAAATTCACTTAATTATTCAAAATGTATTTATTGAGCACCTGCTACATACCAGGCACTAGTAACACAGAATAAGAATATATTGGTAAAGTTTAATTCAGATTGGTCTTTAAAAATGCTTTCTACCTGACCCCTGGGACCACTGTATCTTCTAAAGTCATCATAGTAGGTAAGGGGAAAATTTTGCCTTAAAAAAAAAATGTACCAGGTTACATTGATGAAAAAACACACACACAACTAACATTTGTGAGGTCTAATGGAATAGTGGGGAAAGGACAGGATTTGGAATAAGGAAACCCAGTTGTAGGCCTATTATTACTTATTAGCTATGCAACCTTAAGTAAATTTCACTTCTCCCACCTCTTAATAGGTGAAGTGATAATTGGCCTGCAGTCATAGAGTATTAGAGCCAAAAGGAACAGAGATCATCTTTCTAGTCCTGTAATTTTCGAAGTTCTTCATTCAAATGAAAATATTACATAAGCAGTTGCAGTGTAAAACTAATGAACGCAGAGTCCCTTTGACAGCCCCTGAGTGTCACTCCCTATCTCCCTGACTCTAAAGTATTCATGAGGGGATTCACAGAACACCCTGAAAGCCACTCATCTAGTCCAAACCCTCACTTTGTAGGTGAAGAAACCAAGACTCCGAATAGGAGTGGCTGTTTTAATGAGTACATTTGGCTTCCAACTAGAAAGCGGGGAGGAGGGCTAAATAAAACGGTTTAAGAACTTCACTAAAAACACAAATTGTCAAGAAGGAAGTCTTCCATTTGAACTCCCTCAAAGTAGCCCCTTTATGAAATGGAGCTTTGAAATTGATTGTGTTTAAGGCGGCCAGCCATCCAGAGGCTGAAATGAACAACTATCATCAATTAGCCTACTTGGGCCAATGGAGAAAAATATGGCAGAAAACCACACAGACCTCATGTCACTTGGCATCTGACCATGGAAAATCCTGGCCCCAACAGTTCAAGCACTGGACTGGCAGTTTCAAGAGAAATACTTGAAAAATCAGGAACAAGTATAGACAAGTCCCCAGCTCCCAGATCCCCAAAGGAGAAGTCGCCATTGTGTTACTCAGAAATACTAACAAAAGTGAGCATGTTAATTCTTAAAGTGAGCAGTACAACCAAAATCATCAGTTTGAAATTTCTTCAGATGCATCCTCTTCAAAGAGGAAAGTCCTAGTTTGGAATCTTGACCACTATTAGCCACAGCAGACTTGAAATTAAACCAAAAAGTTAAAATGCATGTCAAATGCTGGAACTATTTGGTCAAGGCGGTGATCTCTTCTGATTTCATGGCATCAGACAGGTAGCTGAGCTCATTGCATAAGGTCTCATATCGGAATGCCATCCGGATCTGAGCAACATTTGTCTTTCGAATATCATTTCCTTCAGGTCCTTCTTTATAATAATTTTGTCCCAGAAACTTTTGCTTTTCCTGTGGACCAAGAGAAATACAAATGAAATTATTATATACTTTTGATTCACTTTCTATAGCCACATGGGCAGATTTGACATCAGTCACAGCAAATCAGACTAGTCTCCCTGAAGCTGATCTTCAGTCAGGACATCTTATCCCCACAGGACTCATAAAATTCCTCCTGGCCTCCGTGTCCTCAAGGATGTCGCCCTGACAACCTCAGTCATCCTTAGACAACCCTTTGTTCCTGGCTGTGCTTTCCTTGATCAGAGAGGAAAGACAAGGTCTGCAACATCTGCTGGGGATGGGGAAGGAGGTAAATATTAATTAAGAAGTCCCTCCGGAGAGCTGACAAGGACAGTTTTTCTGGGGAGAGCCAATCCAAGGAACCATACTGCACATGAAAAGAATCTTAAGCCCGGTCAGGGAGTCCAGATGGCCAAATAGACACAACTCCAGCACACAACACCCAGCGAGAGAGATGCAGAAGTCGAGAGATCTCCTAGCTCCAAGGAACCAGGTGCATTTTGACAGGTCTGGTCAGTGAGCAAAGCCCAGGCAGGGCAGACCAACCAAGGCGGGGAGGGGTGCCACTTCACCCAGAAAGTGCATCTGACTAGTGAGTCAGAGGCTCCCCCTCTGGCACTCTGGTCCAGATACAGCACTTCTCCCAAAGCCTCAGCAATACACAGAAAAGAGGATCTTTGCCAGTCAAGCACCAGGAATTACAAGCGCAGAGGTGAATAATCAGGATAGTGTCCCGGATTGGCACACAGATCTAAACAAACACATAAGCCCATAAGCCGGCCAACAGAGCCTGCGGACTGAGCTGTTACCCCCTCCCCCTGCTCAGAGAGGGAGGGAGCTGAAACCGGGAAGACAGATGGTGCTGCTGGGCAGGTCCCTATCCTCCCCGACAAACCCCAGAGGGCTGAAGCACTAACTCTAGTGGCTTAGGCAGCCAGTTCTTCAGTCTGAGGTGAACCCCGAATGATCCAGCCCTGTGGAGGAAAGACACAACCCACCATTAAAGGGGTAGGACTAGGTGTCATGTTTTAACAAAAAACAGGAGGAAGCCTACATAGCAATGGGATGATGTTCTTGATCACCTAGCAGCATCTCCAGGTCAGTGGAACATGCAGGCCTAACCTCCCAGTGCAAACAAAAAAGACACAGGAAGCTTACCTAGTAACCTGAAAGAGTTTCTAGAAACCCAGTAGCACCTTGACAGACAGACAAGCAACCTCATCAAACAGCTCCCTGAGATCACAGCCAGGTAAACCCACAAAGACAGGGAAAAAACAGCACAAAAAAGATGAAACCATCAAAGACCAGAACACCGCTTCTCCTTCGAGGGATCACAACTCCTCAGCAACACAGGAACACAACATGACCGAGAAAGAATGTGATGAATTTACAGAAACAGGCTTCAGAAGGTGGATAATAACTTTTCTGAACTAAAGGAACATATTCTAACTCAATGCAAAGAACCAAAAACTTTGAAAAAAGGTTAGATGAAATGCTAACTAGAATAACCAGCTTAGAGAGGAACATAAACGACTTGATGGAGTTGAAAAACACAGCACAAGAACTATGTGAAGAAAACACAAGTTTTAATAGCCAAATTGATCAAGCAGAAGAAAGGATATCAGAGATTGAAGATCAACTCAATGAAAAAATAGAAGGCAAGACAGAAAAAGAGTGAAAAGAAATGAACAAAGCCTTCAACAAATATGGGATTATATGAAAAGACCTAATCTATGCTTAATCTTTGTAACTGAATATGAGGGGGAGAATGAACCCAAGCTGGAGAAAACACTCCAGGATATTATACAGGAGAAATTCCCAAGCCTAGCAAGGCAGTCCAACATTCAAATTCAAGAAATACAGAGAACTCCACAAAGATATTCCTCAAGAAGAGCAACCCAAAGGCACATAATTGTCATATTCACCAGGGTTGAAATGAAGGAAAAAATGCTAAGGGCAGCCAGAGAGAAAGGTTAGGTCATCCACAGAGGGAAGCCAATCAGACTCACAGCAGATGTCTCAGCAGAAACCCTGCAAGCCAGAAGACAGTGGGGGCCAATATTCAATATCCTTAAAAAAAAAGAACTTTCAACCCAGAATCTCATATCCAGCCAATCTAAGCTTCATAAGTGAAGGAGAAACCAAATCCTTTACAGACAAGCAATTACTGAGAGATTTTGTCACCACCAGACCTGCCCTACAAGAGCTCCTGAAAGTAACACTAAGCACAGAAAGGAACAAGTACCAGCCACTGCAAAAGCACACCAAATGGCAAAGACTAAAAATGCAATGAAGAAAATGAGTCAGCTAATGGGCAAGAAAACCAGCCAGTAACAAAATGGCAGGATCAGATTCACACATAACAATATTAACATTGAATGTAAATGGCCTAAACACTCCAATCAAAAGACACAGACTGGCAAACTGGATAAAAAGTCAAGACCCATCAGTGTGCTGTATTCAGGAAACCCATCCCACATACAAAGACACACATAGACTCAAAATAAAGGGATGAAAGAAGATTTGCCAAGCAAATGGAGACTTAAAAAAAAAAAAAAGCAGGGATTGCAATCCTAGTCTCATAAAACGGACTTCAACAAAAATCAAAAGAGACAAGGAAGGGCATTACATAATGGTAAAAGGATCAATCTAATAAGAAGAGCTAACTATCCTAAATATGCATCCAACACAGGAGCACCCAGATGTATAAAGCAAGTTCTTTATACATTTTAGGTCATATAAAGAACTTATATGACCTAAATGAGATTTAGACTCCCACAAAATAATACTGGGAGACTTCAACACTCTACTGTCAATACCAGACAGATCAATGAGACAGAAAATTAAGAAGAACATCTAGGACTTGAATGCAGAGCTAGACCAAGCAGACCTAATAGATATATACAGAATGTTCCACCCCAAATCCACGGAACACACATTTTTCTCAGCACCACATCGCACTTACTCTAAAATTGACCACATAATTGGAAGCAAATCACTCTTCAGCAAATGCAAAAGAACAGAAATCATAACAAAAAGTCTATCAGACCACAGCACAATCAGGTTAGAACTCAGGATTAAGAAACACTGAAATCTGCACAACCATTTGGAAACTGAACAACTTGCTTCTGAGTGTTGACTGGATAAACAATGAAATGAAGGCAGAAATAAAGGTCTTATTCAAAACCAATCAGAATGAAGACACAACTTACCAGAATCTCTGGGACACCTTTAAAGTAATGTCAAGAGGGAAATTTATAGCAGTAAATGCCCACATGAGAAACAAGGAAAGATCTAAAATTGACACCCTATCATCAAAATTGAAAGAGCTAGAGGAGGGAGATAAAAACTCAAAAGCTAGCAGAAGACAAGAAATAACTAAGATCAGAGCTGAACTCAAGGAGACAGAGACACAAAAAAACCTTCAAAAAAATCAATAAATCCGGGAGCTGGTTTTTTGAAAAGATCAACAAAATAAACTGCTAGCCAGACTAATAAAAAAGAAAAGAGAGAAGAATCAAATAGATGCAATAAAAAAGGTAAAAGGGATATCACCACTGATCCCACAGAAATACAAACTACCATCAGAGATTACTACAAACAGCCCTATGCACATAAACCAGTAAACCAGGAAGAAATGAATAAATTCCTGGACACTTGTACTCTACCAAGACTAAACCAGGAGAAAGTCAAAACCCTGATTAAACCAATAACAAGAGCTGAAGTTGCGGCAGCAATAAATAGCCTACCAACCAAAAAAAAAGTCCAGGTCCAAATGGGTTCACAGCCAGATTCTACCAGATGTACAAAGAGGAGCTGGTTCCATTTTTTCTGAAACTATATCAAACAATACAAAAAGAGGGAATCCTCCCTAACTCATTTTATGAGACCAACATCGTCCTGATACCAAAACCAGGCAGAGACTCAACTAAAAAAGAAAACTTCAGGCCAATATCCGTGATGAACATTGATGCGAAAATCTTCAATAAAAAACTGGCAAACCGAATGCAACAGCACATCAAAAAGCTTATTCATCACGATCAAGTAGGGTTCATCCCAGGGAAGCAAGGCTGGTTCAACATACACAAGTCCATAAACATAATCCATCACATAAACGGAACCAAAGACAAAAACCACATGATTATCTCAATAGATGCAGAGAAGGCCTTTGACAAAATTCAGCAGCCCTTCATGCTAAAAACTCTCAATAAACTAGGTATTGATTGAACATATCATAAAACGATAAAAGCTATTTATGACAAACCTATAACCAATATTGTACTGAACAGGCAAAAGCTGGAAGAATTCCCTTTGAAATCAGGCAGTAGACAAGGATGCCCTCTCTCACCACTCCTATTCAATATAGTATGGGAAGTTCTAGCCAGAGCAATCAGGCAAGAAAAAAAAATAAAGGATATTCAATTACGAAAGGAGGAAGTCAAACGGTCTCTATTTGCAGATGATATGATTGTGTATTTAGAAGACCCCATTGTCTCAGCCCAAAATCTTCTCAAACTGATAAGCAACTTCAGCAGAGTCTCAGGATACAAAATCAATGTGCAGAAATCACAAGCATTCCTTATATACCAATAACAGACAAACAGCCAAATCAAGAGCAAACTCCCATTCACAATTGCTACAAAGAGAATAAAATACCTAGGAATACAACTAAGAAAGGATGTAAAGGACCTCTTCAAAGAGAACTACAAACCACTGCTCAATGAAATAAGAGAGGACACAAACAGATGGAAAAACATTCCATGCTCATGGTTAGGAAGAATCAATATTGTGAAAATGGCCATACTGCCCAGAGTAATTTATAGATTCAACACCATCCCCATCAAGCTACCCATGACCTTCACAGAACTGAAAAAAAAAACACTTTAAACTTCATATGGAATCACAAGAGAGCCTGCATAGCCAAGACAATCCTAATCAAAAAGAACAAAGCCAGAGGCATCACACTGCTGGACTTCAAAGTATACTACAAGGCTACAGTAATCAAAACAGCATGGTATTGGTACCAAAACAGAGACATAGACCAGTGGAACAGAACAGAGGCCTCAGAAGCAACACCACACATCTACAAGCATCTGATCTCTGACAAACCTGACAAAAACAAGCAATGGGGGAAAGGACTCTGTTTAATAAATGGTGTTGGGAAAACTGGCTAGCAATGTGCAGAAAGCAGAAACTGGACCCCTTCCTGTCACCTTACACTAAAATTACCTCCAGATGGATTAAAGATTTAAACATAAACCCTAACACCATAAAAACACTAGAAGAAAACCTAGGCAAAACAATCCAGGACATAGGCATAGGCAAGGACTTCATGACTAAAACATCAAAAGCAATGGCAACAAAAGCCAAGATAGACAAATGGGATCTAATTAAAATTCAGAGCTTCTGCACAGCAAAAGAAACCATCATTAGAGTGAACCGGCAACCAACAGAATGGGAAAAAATTTTTGCAATCTACCCATCTGACAAAGGGCTGATATCCAGAATCTACAAAGAACTAAAACAGATTTACAAGAAAAAACCAAACAACCCCATTCAAAAGTGGGCAAAAGGATATGAACAGACACTTTTCAAAAGAAGACATATATGAGGCCAACAAACATGAAAAAATGCTCATCCTCACTGGTCATTAGAGAAATGCAAATCAAAACCACATTGAGATACCATGTCACCCAAGTTAGAATAGTGATCATTAAAAAAAAAACCTGGAGACAACAGATGCTGGAGAGGATGTGGAGAAATAGGAACACTCTTACACAATTGGTGGGAGTATAAATTAGTTCAACCATTGTGGAAGACAGTGTGGTGATTTCTCAAGGATCTGGAAATAGAAATTCCATTTGACCCAGCAATCCCATTACTGGGTACATACCCAAAGAACTATAAATCATTCTATAAAGACACATGCACATGTATGTTCATTGCTGCCCTGTGTACAACAGCAAAGACCTGGAACCAACCCAGATGCCCATCAATGATAGACTGGACAAAGAAAATGTGGCACATATACACCGTGGAATACCCAACTGCCATAAAAAACAAGTTTGTGTCCTTTGTAAGGACTTGGATGAATCTGGAAACCATCATTCTCAGCAAACTGACACAAAAACAGAAAATCAAACACCGCATGTTCTCATAGGCGGTGTTGAACAATGAGAACACGTGGACTCAGGGAGAGGAGCATCACACACTGGGGGCAGTTGGGGTGGGGGCTAGGGGAGGGACAGCGAGGGGTGAGGAGGGATAACATGGGGAGAAATGCCCCATATAGTATACACCTATGCAACAACCCTGCATAACCCGCACATGTACCCCAGAGCCTAAAGTCAAATTTTTTAAAAAAATTGTAAAGAAAAAAAAAGAATCTTAAGCCTTTAACTCTGCTGCATCATCATCCAACAAGGGAAGCCCCTAATGCAACCTCTCCCCAACCAGTGATATCACCCAGGGAAGTGTCGGCAGACCTAAGATACATCAGAACATGGGTCTCAGTGCTAGTGCCACCTCAGAATTACCATATGTAATTCTGATACATGTCTCGGTCCTATTGTCTAAGTTTTTATTCAGTCTAGATACTGTTCCCATCTATTTAAGAAATACTGAGCTCCTGCTCTGTGCCAGGGACTATCTAGGGCCCAGGGACATAATTCTGAACAAGCCTCTGTCCTCACAGAGCTTATATTCTAGAGGGAAAGACAGAAAAACACATAACTAAGTATTAGCAGGAATAAATGTTATGGAGAAAAACAGATTAAGGGGACAGAGAATAATAGCAAGTGTGTGGCTATTTTAGAATGGGTGATCAGGGAAGGCCTCTTCGAGGAGCCGTAGAGGTCTGAAAAGGGTGAGGAAGCAGCCATGGAAACGCAGGAGGCTGCTGCCTTTTCTCTCCCCATGCCTGAGTGTCAGAGGCCCCGTCTGCTGTGTTGTCACAGATCCCCAGTGCTTGGAAGGTGCCTGGCACACAGCAGGCAGCCTTCCCAGGAGGGACACAGGTGGCACCATCACACTGCATACCTGATGCGAGAGGCCGCTCTGCAGCACGCTGTTCCTGGCGATCTCACACAGGTCGCACGTGCTAAGCTTCCACACTTGAGCTGCAATGGCATATTCTTCCATAAGTGCTTCCTAGACCCTCCCCCAAAGCATGTGGATTAGACAGGAGAATATCCAAATCAACCCTTCACATATGTCCAAAGATAACATCAGACATTGCAGGTTTAACTTTTCCTCACTAAATGGCACCTGGATCACCAAATGTCACACCTTCAATGCCTAAGATCTTCTGTGAAATCATGGGTTATCAAAGATCTAAATCACATCTCCAAATTTATTTATTGGCCAGCACTGAGAGCTCATGTTGAAGCCCTGTACCAGTCGTCAGGGATGCCTGTCTCTGCTCTCCTGTGACAAGCCCTCTAGTCATGCCACTTTAAGCACTTGCTCTCTAGCTTTTCTTTTTAACACACTATTTTCTTAAGTTTGCCATATATATATATGAATGTGATATATATATGAATGTGAGATATATATATGTAAAATACTAAAAGCAGAGACAGAACATCAAAAAAAAAAAAAAAGAAGTGATCATAGGATAGGTGGTAAAATGGTGTACTCCCAGAAGGATCTGGGTTTGAGCTGTGGTTTTGCTTCCCTTCTGGGATGTGAAGTGTCTATTCATGAGCCCTCTATGACCTCTTCCCCACCCCACTGCTGCTGTAGCCTAGAGCAATGGTTCTCAAAATACAGGTCAAGGACTGCTGAAGGTCCTAAAACCTTTCAAAAGGTCTTCTCTTTTCCAATTATGTATTTTCATGAAGCAAGGTTTTCTATTTTTATGTATTTTGACTAAAAACAAATCGAATGCAGAAGTGGCTAGGAGAGTCCTACTGACTTCCATTAAGACATTAAAGAGGCTTAAAAATGCAAAACAAAGGCAGGGAGTACTGTTACTTTTCAGAAAAAAAAATATTATGTAACATTTAATTGGTTTCTTGATACAGTTTTTAAATAAGATAATAAATATTTTTAAATTTCCTATTCATTTCTAACATGTTAAATATCAGTAGATATAACCCACATAAACAACAGGTCTTTGAGAACTTCAATTTTTTTTTTTTTTGAGATGGAGTTTTTTGCTCTTGTTAACCAGGCTGGAGTGCAATGGCGCAATCTCGGCTCACCGCAACCTCCGCCTTCTGGGTTCAGGCAATTCTCCTGCCTCAGCCTCCTGAGTAGCTGGGATTACAGGCACACACCACCATGCCCAGCTAATTTTTTGTATTTTTAGTAGAGACGGGGTTTCACCATGTTGACCAGGATGGTCTCGACCTCTTGACCTCGTGATCCAACCGCCTCGGCCTCTCTAAGTGCTGGGATTACAAGCGTGAGCCACCGGAGAACTTCAATTCTTAAGAGTATAAAGAGGTCCAGAGACCAAGAAGTTGGAGAATCTGTCCTAAAAGACTGGTGCTTCTGTTTGTGGTAAACAAATGGCTGGTCTCGTCAACACCATTGAAACATGCTGGGTACACTTGTAGCTGGTCCCCATGCATGACACCACCTTTCCCTGCCTCTTTTCTTTTCCCAGAGACCCAATGTGTAGAAATTGTAATAGCATTGATTTAAAAGGTATGTTTAAATATTTTGAATATATGCAGACACTACACTAGACCCTTTGATTCATTATCTTCATGAATCCTCACAAGGTAGGGGTAGACACAATTTAATCTCCATTTTACAGATGAAGAGGAACTTAATCCAGAGAGCTAATAACTTTACCAAGGTCACAGAGCTCATAAATGTCAAAGAAAGGGAAAATAGAGGAAGGCAAAGATACTGATACTAAATTGTGCCTTCGAGGGTTCAAGAACCCCAAAAAGAGGGTTCCTGAAGGCACAATTTTCTCCCACCAGTGACTTCCCTTCTGTCTTCACTGGGCCACCAGCCCCACCCCAAAAGCAGAACTGAGCCATGGGCTCAGGTCCCTGAAACGGAAGGACAGGCTAGGACTGATTCCTACTGAGGCACTACCATGCTCACCCCAAAGTCCTCACCTTCGTGTAGTGGAACTGCATGGGGTCATCGGTGGAAAGAGAAACGTGCAGTCCCTTGTGCAGGAATTCCCTCAGAGGGTTCTTGGAATATTCGAGAAACAAACTGTTGTTGCTAAGAGGAGACATGGCAATGGGGATCTGAGCAAGGTAGTAGAGATACTGCAATACTGGACTCTGCAAAAGAACCACCAAACTCATGTGACAGGTGCCAGAGAGAGGAGAAGGGAAAAGGGAAGGGAGAAAAGGAGGGAAGAAGCATTCACCAGTGGAAACCAGGGGTCTGAACAGTGTCTGCCCAAGTCCTCAACCTGAGTTCCTGGAAGCCAGAACACCCAGACACATATTCCCCTTCCCCACTGTTCATCTCATTTCTACATTGCATGCCAGGCACCTCCCTGGTGCTTCTACCCATTGTTGGAAGCACCCACTCTTGCTCCAAACTGGAGACAAGGCTCAGGTCAGGAAGGGCAGCCCACCCCAGCCTTCACCTTCAGCTCCTTTCCCCGAGGCATGGACCCAGTCTAGAAAATGCCCCACTTTAGTTGTTTTGTTGCTTTGACTGCAAACAGCCACGTTGAGGCTGAACACTCCAGTTCATCCTGGGAGATGAGCCCTGAAGGGACCTAAAGGGTGGACTTGCCCAGGATAGAGTGGTTTTCTACTGTAGCACCCACCCCACCAAAAAACGTGACCCATGGTTACACCTTGCCGGGAGGAGGGAAAGGGAGCATTTTGATTAAACATCGTGCCAGTGAAAAGTGATCTAAAATATGAAGAAGACTACATGCACAGAGCTCAAAGGTACACCACTGAAAAGGTGGATGGACTCTGTTCAACTAGTGTTAACTTGTTGAGTCAATTACAAAGTGGCAGACCCTTCATCCAGCAACAGCCTTTGGAAGGAAGAGCATAGACATTATGTTGCAGCATCAAAAAATGCTTATCATACAACAGGGACAAAGCAGCCAAATTCTGTGTTCATTATGATAATAAACACATTAAAATATGCTCTGGATAAAATACAGAAATTGGATATACTAAAAAGCTAATAATGGCTATTTCTACTAACGTAATAGCAATAGGGCTGGCTTTTTTTCATTTCTTCAGTTTTTGGAAAATTGAAATTGTGATGAGTTTGATTATATTACTTTCATAATTTAAAATGAAACCAAGACAACGACAGACATCCCATCCCAGAAGAGGCCCCAGCTTTCTGGCCTCACTGGCCAAGCCTCCCAGGAGCTCAGAGCAGGGCAGTTGCTGCAGAGCAGGCTCCCGAGAGTGGCCTGGTTACCTTCTTGAGGAGCAGCCCATGGGAAATGTTGTCAGCAGTGAGGAAGGCAGACACCAGGTGGGTGATGGAGCCAGCCTCCCCACAGTGCGGCCGGAACAGGAACGTGCTCAGGCCACGCTCCCTGTAAGAGAAGAGAGCCCCGGATCAGGAAGGACCCCCTGGTTGGCTCTGCTTGGGGCCTGCAGCCTCAGTTCAGGGCCAGCTCCAGGGAGAATAACCACCCATGGTGAGCTGTGATGACCCAGTGCACCCTGGAAACTACCCCTTCTAAAATGCAGAGGCCCAGGTCCCAGAGCCTGTTAGAACCAAGAAGCATCATCTCTAGGGGTAGAGAGTGGGCCTCAAAGTAGAAAGAGAACCTGCTGTGCCCTCCAGCCACTCTCCTGTATTCCTCTCCCAGCCTTGTGTCCTGCATTCATAGAACTCCAGAGCAGGGAAGGCCATGAGAAACCAGAGTCTGACTTCTCTGTTATAAAAATGGGCAAACCAAGGCCGAGAGAGTGAAGTCTATGTTCCGTGGAGGTCTTTGGCAAAGCCAGAATCAGAGCTCCCATCCACAAAAGCTCAGTCCAGGACTGCCTCCATCTCACCAGGCCATTTTTTTCAATCAGGGCCCCATTTTAAACCTCCACACCCACCAACTAGCACCAGTTTAGGCTGAGCTAATGAGGCCCCAGGGCCCAGGAGGGGCAGGTGGGATGCGAGACTTGTAGGGAAGGGAATGACTCACTGTCCTATTGCCCTGGGCAGCCAACTCCTGGCTCTTGTCTGTGTGCATATTGGTGGGAATCTCTGCCTGTAAGACCTTTGCCTGTAAAGGCATGTATGGATTTAGTCTTTTTGTTCCCTGTTATTTATCCAGTGCCCAGGGCAGTGCCTATCACATAGCAGATACAGTAATTTGTTGAATGAAAATATGCACATGTGGACATTGTTGTGTGGTGGTAAGTGAATGTGCACATGTGGACATTGTTGGTGCGGTGGTAAGTGAACATGTGGACATTGTTGGTGCGGTAAGTGAATGCGCATGTGTGATGGCATGTCCTATGCTTCTGTTATCTCAGGGAGGTACAGGTACACATGGAATATGCACTGGTAAGTGTGTGTACATATAAATATGTGGACACGTGGGCTGTGGCTGCATTGCATACTGTACATGGTATATATCTGTACTGGCCTGTGTGTTATGGTGGGCATGTCTGTATGTATGTGATCATGTGGAGACATGCCTCATATAGCATGCTGGAAAGTATTGTGGATTTTGAGGTATGTGAGCACATGGACATGTGTTGGTTCACGTGCACATGGACACAAGGGCCACATGCATATGTGTGTGCATGTGTGCATATACTAACACATGAACCCAAGCGTGTGCAAGGGCAGGCTGAACGCACCTGCGGAGGTTGTTGAGCACCATGATGTTGGCATACATGTAGTACAGGTAGTAGCTGTAAGGCGGGTTCTGCTCACTGGTCCAGACGTCTGGGCTGGGGCTCTTTTCAGAAAACATGTGGTCACTATGCTTGGACTCATCATCCACGCTGTCAAACCCTGTCACCTGGGCAGGAGGAAAGGTCCTAAGCACCAAGCCAAGGCAGGACCAGGATCAGACTTGGCTCAGCCTCCTGGGGCTCACAGCTGCCAGAGGCCAGGGGGTCTGGGGCCCTCAGGTTCACACCTCAGCTGGGGATCCCATAGCCTGACTGAGGCCACATTCTCCTCAGGGATGAGGAGTGGGTACAACACCAAAGTCTGCCCCTTTGGGCTTCCAAAGGTACTCTGGAGGGGAGACAGGAGAGTACCAAGCCCCTGTGTGGAGGTGGCGGCAGCAGGGGAGACTGCCAGGACAGGTGAAGTGTGAGGCAGCCATGCCCACCGCCCGTCCCTCGGCTGTGCCAAGGCCATCCTGCAGGAAGCAGCAGCCACTGCCATCAGCAGCAGCAACAAGCTGTGAAGGGAAAGAGTCCTACTACACATCACGGGTCAGGCCCTGCTCAAAGCACTTTATGCACATCAGTTAATTCATAACTCAGAGCAACCAGGAGGGACGGGTTGGCTGTGGAGCCCCATTTCACAGTTGAGCAAACCAGGGCCAAAGCAATTAAGGAAGTTGCTCAAGAAACCAGACTCAGCCAGGTGCAGTGGTTCAGGCCTGTAATCCCAGCACTTTGGAAGTCAGAGGTGGGTGGATGACAAGGTCAGAAGTTCGAGGCCAGCCTGACCAACATGGTGAAACCCCATCTCTCAAAATAAAAATACAAAAATTAACCAGGCATGGTGGTGTGTGCCTGTAGTCCCAGTTACTCGGCAGGCTGAGGCAGGAGAATCGCTTGATCTCTGGAGGCAGAGGTTGCAGTGAGCTGAGATCGCACCACTGCACTCCAGACTGGGTGACAGAGCAAGACTCCATCTCAAAAAAAAGAAACCAGGCTCTGAGCACTGAATTTGCACTCTTTGGGGCTGTAGGTGGAGGATACCCTAGGGCATGCCCAGGTGTGGCCAGGAGAATCCAGCCAGATGCCTCACAGACAGAGAAGAGGGTCCTTGCTGGGCTGAGCCGTGGCTCCTGGGAGGCAGCTAGCTCTGCTCTCCAGTCCCCACTGGGAGCTACCCTCTGAGATGGGCTCGAGTAGCCTCAGGAAACTTCCACCCTTCCACTGCAGTTCTACCTCTGCTGGGACCCCTCCAGAGTCACCAGAGCCTTCTGACTGATCCCAGAGGTCATCCTCAACCAAGAACACATGCATGGAGGGCATGGGCTCTCAGTGCATAGGGGAGGCTTGGTACCAGGCCTCTCTCCATCTGTCCAGCCATGGCAGTGCTTTGCAAAGGGGCTTCTGAATATCAGATGGGAGAAAGAGACTGTCCCCCTTAATCCACAAATGGCCCAAACTGGGGGGATACCAGCCCAGGCCCCAGCGAGGTCTGCCAGCCTCTCTTGTTCCTACAGGGGCAGCTGGGGCCCAGAGGAGCAAGGTAGCATGAGGGTCTTCCCAGAATCTTCCCTGTCACGGAGCTCTGTGTGTCAAAGGAAATGACAGAGTCCCTGCTATGACCCTAAGCACACGGGTTCGGGGGACCAGGGTAGACCTTGAGCTCTGCTCTGGGCTCACTAGCCCCATACTTCACCTGAACTTTCTGTGGCCTTTAGTGGGGATAATTTCAGCCTCTCTCCAGAGCTCTATTCAACTGAAGCAGGGCCTCACCACTGCATCTCCCACAGCCTCGGGTGCAAAATACGTTGTCTCCTCCTACTCCTCCTCCTCACACCTACTCTTCCTCCATTGCTGGCAGCAACCTTCGAACAGTGCATCATCCATGCTCCGGCAAAGCTAGGCACCTGTGAGGCATCCTAGACTCCCCTCTCATGCCACCTTCAGTCTCTGTCCAGGTCCTGCCAAGTCTACACCCACCCTTTCTCGCCAAGCCCTGCACTCTGTGCAGAGTCCCTGTGCTGCCACAGCTCAGAGCCACAAGCTGCTAGCTGCTGTGTGCCCCCTGTTCTTACTTGGGAGGCAACACAGAATAGGGGTTCAGGGCACATCTCTGGAGTCAGCCTGCTTGGATACAAATCCAGTTCTGCCACTTTTTAGCTTTATGATCTGTTTTAATTTCCTTGTGTGTCCATTAGAGCTAGCAGCTTCACAGGGCTTTGGCGAGGATTAAATGAGATAGTCCAGGGAAAGCACTGAACACCGTGTTTAACACACGCCAAGCACATAATAATTCTGCTTATTGTTAAAAACAAAATGGTGATAGTAATGGGGTAATTGTGAGGCTTCGGTGAGATCACATCTTGGCATCTGACCAGGCCAGGCAGAAGCACCCACGAGTGCGACCCGTTTCCACTGGGTCAAGCTCCCCTCCTGTCTCCAGGCAGGCTCTGACCCTCACCTCTGCCCTACCTCCAGCTACCTTCTCTTCTGGGCCATCTCCACACAACAGCCAGAATATGTTTGTCTGAAGTATAAATTTGATGATGTCCCTCAGCTTGTCCAATCACTTTCTGGGCACACAGACTCAATCACTCCCTCCCATGCCCCAGCCCTCAGGCTCCCCTCTCTGCCTCTCCCTGTAGAAAGTCATCCATCACCTTGACTGGGCATTGGCCTGTATCACCATCTGCTAACCCTCAATTCCAGGCATCCAGAGGAAGAGATTGGCTCCTGCCCCCTCCTCCCCCCTCCCCTGGTTAAGTCTCTCCCGGACTGCTCTTCTCCTACAACCCACTGAATCTGGAAGGGAAATGTCTTGGAGGCTTGTACTTAATCACACACGGTGTAAGGACCTTTGTTGTTAGGTGAGCAGGTGAACTGAAGTATCTACATTTCTAAACAAGACCTGAGGCTGCTGCTTGGTGCTGCTGGGGGCTAGATCCAGTCTTTCGGGCCCCACCTGGCAGGAACTGAGTTCCCGGTCTGCCCACTGCTGTCTCCCCCACTGAGGGCAAGGCCTGCCCCACAACCAGGGACACACAGGGCCCCCACCTCTGAAAGCAGATGCTGGCAGGCATCTGAGAGGCCTTAGCAAGACTGAGGCCTCCCTCACCTTGACCATCTGAGCAAAGTACTCTCCTCCTAGATGGTTTTCAGTTTTCAACCAACACCACCCCCATCCACTGACTCCCAGAGCTGCCCCTGAGGAGAAGGGGACTTTTTAGAAATCCAGCTTCTTGGGGCTGGTGACCCCATGCCTGGAACACAGGTGGCAGGACCTGAGATACCATGGTGAAGGGCAGGAGCAAACCTGACCCAGCCCACAGCGAATCCATTCCTGTCTCAGCCCCTATGAGCCCTGCCTGGGTCACCAACCACACTTACATATTTAAGAAAGAGGTGAAGCTCTCGATGATCTTGGGGGTTGATCGTGGCCTTGAAAAGGGGCAGGAAGATGTTCTCCAGCATCTTCCCAAAGTTTGGCAGCAGCTTCTTTGACCTAAATATGTCACTGGGGGATAGCAAAGACTCGATTATCAGGTGGACCCAACAGCCCCCTGCCCTGTCAGAGACCAGCGCCAGTCACTTCCTCAGGCTGCCTGTGTCCCCATTAAACACCCAGAGTCAAGTCAGGTGTGGCCTGAACACAGATTCCTCCCATCTCCTCCCCCAACCAGCAAAGTCTGAAATACTTGGCCTTGCTTTGCAAGCTCCACACCTACCCATGCCCATCAGAGCACTTTCTCAAGCCAGAAGCCACTGGGAGGGGGATGGTGGCATTCTGGCTCACCAAGAATCTGAGATATGAGTCCTCGAATTTCCACTGACCTTAACACTCTGTTACTCAGCTCTGTTTCTCTAAACCACATACGCTAGCCATCCTAGAGGCATGGGCCCCGCCCTGGCCAGCCACCTGGAGAGGACAGCAGCCATCTGAGCGACATCTAGGGAGAGGGTCAGCAATGTAAACCACTACCAGCTCTTCTCATACTCCAGGACTCACCAAAAGGACAATCCATCCTCAACCCACAATGAGAAGAAGGCAGGGGTGGTAGATCCCCCAAGGACTTGGAACATCTATATTTTTCAAAGATTAAGAGTTCTAGGGTCATGTGGACATCTTTGCTAACCACTCCTTCTATGGAAAAATCCCTGGAGAGGACAAGCCTAAGCTGGTACCAGATCGGGCCCCATCCCTCAGCAGTGCAGACTTGGCAGCCCACGCGGGACAGATTGCCACCTCCGGAGGGCACAGGGCAGACAGCAGGGCCACCTCACTTACTAGATCCGGGGCACCTGGATGATCCAGCGCATGTTGGGGGAGTAGACCTTGTGCTGGATGAACCAGTGGGCCAGGTTGGGCCATTCCTCGGGACTGCGGCCATAGATGGAGAGCCGTGGCTCTGAGTACTGGTACTTGCTCTCCTCCAGCTCCCGGGCAACCTCCTGGCACAAGAAAAGCTTCAGTCAAACCCAGAGCATCCCAGCTACGTGGGAGACCCTCATTCTCATCACCAGCAGGGTCCTGTGGCTCCCCTAGGCACCTTGCTCTGAGGCTGGAAGCACTGATCTAAATCCCCAGGGCTGCCTGCTCCTATAAGCTCTTGTTCCACTTCAGCAGAGGCTCCCTCTGGGGAGGAAGGTCTTCTGCAGAATCAAGCCACAGCAGAAGCATGTCCATGTTTCTGGGTGCTCATCTGCACCCAGCCAGGTTCAGGCTGCAGAGACAGGAAAGCCAGGCCAGATGCTGTGAGCTCAGACAAGGTGGATATGCTTCCCTCCTCTTCCCTGCAGCCAGGCCACAGCAATGGGTGCCTGGCCACCTCACCCTTGCCTGAGCTGATGGTGGACAGAGGGAAGGGAAGAGGCCAGGGGCACACAGAGCCCCACCCTCTGAAGGCAGATGCTAGCAGGCATCTGAGAGGCCTTAGCAAGACTGAGGGCTCACTCACCTTCACCATCCGAGCAAAGTATTCTCCTCCCAGATAGTTTTCAGTTTTCAAATACAGGTCACGCAGCTCACTGGCCCCCACGGGGTTGTATTTGGAGTTGAACTTGTCAAAGCGGTGGAATGTCTGCCGGCCCTGGGGAGGAGACCACACGCATCATTCTTCAACTACCACACACTCTAGACCTTTGCAAGGCAGCCTTCTGTATGGCCACACCAAAAGACATCTTCTGTGTCAATTTTTGCGTGAAACCTCAGAAATGCCTGAGAGCCAGGACCATGGAAACTCACTTAGTCAGTTTGGGATCCTTTGGTGAGGCCCCCTGTGAAGTAACAGCAGGGGTCCCAACTGCAAGGTACCACAGCAAGTCTCGGCACATGGCTGGCTTAGTGAGCAGAGGCTGGACCGCTGAATAACACAGCATTCCCCATCACTACTCACATTTTGTAAAGCACTTTCTCCACATTATATCATTCAGTGTTTTGATTAACAAAGGTTTTTTGTTGTTGTTCTAATCATACACAACATTTACCATTTCAACCATTTTTAACTGTACAGTTCCAGTGGCGTTAAGTATATTCACATTGTTGTGCAACCATCACCACTAACCATTTCCAGAACTTTTTTATAATCCCAAACAAACTCTATACCCATTAGACACTAACTCCCCATGCCTTCCTCTCTACAGGCCCTGGTAACTTCTATTCTCCTTATGAATGTGCCTATTCTAGGTACCTTATATCAGTGGAATCATATAGTATTTGTCCTTTTGTGTCTGGCTTCTTTGATTTGGTATAATCTTTTGAAAACTTCATTTGTAGTTGTTGCATGTATCAGTACTTTATTCCTTTTATGGCTGAATAATATTCCATTGTATGGATATACCACATTTTGTTTACCCATTCATCTGTTGATGAACATGGGTTGTTTCTACCTTTTGGCCGCTGTGAATAATACTGCTATGAACATGGGTATATGAGCATCTGTTCAAGTTCCTGCTTTCAGTTCTTTGGGGTATATACCTAGAGGTGAATTGCTGAGGCATAGGTAATTCTATACTTAACTTTTTTAGAAACTACTATACTGTTTTCCATAGCAGTTACACAATCATTTAGTGTTTTAATAATTTTTTAAGTTAATAAGGCACGTAGCTGTCACCATTTTATAGACAAGGAAATAAAAGCTTCCATGAGTTGCCTAAAGGCACAAAACTCCTAAGTGGCAGGAGTGGAATTAGTGCTTAGACCTGTCCAGCCCCAAGCTACACACCCTCTTCTCCTGTCCCATGGCCACCCCAGACCTGTTATTCTTTGAGGCCACACGACCTCTCAGTCGGCTAAAAGAGAAAGAGCTGCTTCCATCACACCTCCCCACAAGCACAATCACAGTGGCTTACCAGGGGGCTGAATCCCCAGCCAGGGCTGCTTTCTGTTGGCAGCACTGAAGCAAAAGCTCACTCACCGCGTGGACATCCAGCGAGTCCACAGTGAGGTCGTAGGGGTCCATGTGCAGGCTGTCAAACACCTGCCGCAGGGTAATCTTGCGGCCCCGCTTCTCAGCCACAGTCCTGTCAGGCTCTGTCTGGTATGTGTGCTTGATGAAGCGCAGCAGATGCTTTTGGTTCATGCAGGCGGCCGCATGGATGTGCGTATCCACCTGGAACATAGCACCCACCAGGCCCTGAGTCAGACCACCTCCCCTAGCAACAAGAGTTAAGACATCCAACCCTCAGTGTGCACAGCACGTCGTGGGCCGTCGAGGCAGTCGTACCAATGTCGGGACCGCACTCCCCATTTCTCCTCCAGACTGGAACTGGCATCCCCCCCTTTCAGCCTGGCTGCCCATTCCATCTCCTTATAGCGCCAGGAAATCTTTTTTAAATGCAGATTGGATCAGCCCACTCCCTAGGTAACAGATGACCTATAGGCCCATCAGCCTCAAGATAAAGCCCATGCGCCTTGGCCTGGGATTCAAGGCTTACTTCAAGCCTAACTCTCGCCTTGTCACTGCCCCATTCTGTGCTGCAGCCATGACACACCACTTACAGGAACATAAGACACCAAGGAACCATACACTGTATCACTCTGCCCATGTGTTTCTGCAGTCTGAAATGACTTCCTTTCTCTCCACCAATCTCATCCACCTAGAAATTTCCCACAACCTCCTCCATTGGGAAGCCAATCTTGTTCCCCCAAGCACAATTGATCACTCTTTCGCTTGCCCAACCTGGAAAGCTGGCACAGGCATCCCACTGCTGTGCATGCCCTCCTGATCACTCTAAAGTCTGTCTACTCTTTCACTAGACTGGGAGCTTCTCAAGGACAAGGGCTATGTTTGATGTTTCTAAGTTTCCAGCAATTAGCCCAGAGCCTAGTACAAAGTCAAACTAATGGACGGATGAATGAACAAATTAACAGGTACGACAGGTTCTTATGGTTTCAGTGATAACCCTGAGGGCCCATCAAATGCCCTAAAAAATCCCACTCTTCCCATTGACCTCTCTCAGAACCCTCAGAGCATTCTCAAAGCAAACCTCCAAGTGGGAATGAATGAGAAGGACAGACACTAGAGGCCAGCCCCCAAAACACACCCTTCCTTGGCTAGTGACACCTCACTCAAACTGCAGGGCACCCAAGTCCCAAGAAGAAGCCACTCTACTGGAAGCTGCTCTACTGACCCTAACACATGGACTCACTCTGTGGGGCCCAAGGCCAAAGATCTTAGAGCAAATCCCAAAAAGCAGAAATGCACAGTCAGCTTAGACCTCTCCCCAAATTCCAGGGAAAGGCAGTTTCTTTGCAGAAGCCACCTTTGCAGAAGGAGCCTGGCAAGGTCTCAAAATACCTCATGGGATTTCTCATGTCCTCTATTGTGCTGAGTCCTGTGACACCAGACTGTCCCCTTGCATCTCTGTCCTCTCCTTTTCAGCCTCCTCAATCAGCTCCTCCTCACTACCAGACCTCTTAATAATGGAATTTCTTGATGCCTGGTCCTGGGTCCTTTTGTCCTCTCACTAGAAATTCTCTCCAAAGGTGACCTGATCCATTTCTGTGCATTTAATTATTTTCCTTATACCAAGTCCTAAATTTATGTCACCAGCCAAAAGCTCCAGAACTGTACATACTACTGCCTCCTTGACATCTTCTATCTGAATAACCCAAAGGCAGTTCAATTTTCATATATCTAAAAGTGGTCTCTCCATCTCCGGCCCCAGCCCAAACCTGCTTGTCTCCCAGGTTCTGGAATCCCAGGAAATGGTGTGTCCTGAATCCAGCTGGTCACGCTGAAAACCTGGGAGTCATCCTCGGCCTTCCCACTCCCTTCCTTCAGTCAGTCTCATCAATTCTACCTTCCAAATGGATCTCAAATCCATACAATATTCTCTAGCCCCACTGCCACCATGGGAGTTCAAGTCTGCTTGTTCTCACACCTGAATCCACAGTGACCTCCTAACTGGTCTTGTTCCTTTTTCTGTGTGCTCTGGTTCAGTTCATTCTCCACACACACAAGCTAGAAGGGATTTTTTTTAATGTAATTTAATTCTGTTACTAAACCATCTTCATTAATCTTAGGTTGAGGGCTCTGCTAATATTACCTGGATGCCACCCACCTCCCCATGCCCTCATCCCCACTTTCCCTTTTCTCTGTGCTTCACTCGCAGGACAGCCACCAGCCCTAAGGAAATGAAGCCCCAGCTAAGCTGAGGGATGGCCTGAAGTCACTATGGGCAAACTGACTTCCCTCCCTGAGCCCAAGGGGCCTACAGGCGCTCCTGGGGAGGACGACAGCAGCCTTACAGCCGAGGCTGCTGACAGCAATTAGACCACACTCTAGAGCTACTGCTGTGGCCAACTGGGCTCTCAGCCCAGGCTGGGGTGAGCCCATGCTGGCGGCTGACCTCAGGGCAGGGAATGCTGTCCACAGCTGGCCTGGCATCTCCACATCATGCCAAACCAGACATTTGATACACTGAACCTCTGTGAGCATTATGCCAGCCCGCCCATGTTGTTAGCCACAGCACTCACTCATCAGGGTCCTTCCTGCCATTAATCTTGCCACTCTTACCAGAAAGACAGATCACTGGACACTGGGAACACAAAACAAAGCAAAACGCTGAAACATCCCCAACGCCCAGGTTCCTCAGAGATGTGGCTGGGCTCATGTGGGATGCACAAGAGAAGGTCAGCCTGGCTCAGCTCAGCTGGACACAGCTTGGTGCAATGACCTCAGCATGACTCAGCAGAACTGGGCTTTCTGCGTCTGTCCTCTAGCTTACCAATGACAACCACAGGGGGGTCAACCTGTCCTTACCCCCATGAGTCACAAGATAAATGAGGAAAACAACTGGACAATCCAGGAAGCACCCCATCCAATCTTCAGAATCTCAAGGGTGATTATTTCAGGAATGAAAATAATTGAAGGTCACTGGAGGTCAGTGTTTTCAATTCACCAGAGGATCCAATTGCATTCCCCATGTTCACCTAAGATTCAGATCTAAACAAAGAGCAGAGTTTCCAAACCTGGGACCTAAGCCAGCACTGACCATTTCCATACCCATAGCAGGCATCAATAATCGAGGACAGCACTCTTCTCACTAAGCTTTAGGGGTGGCCTCTGCTAACTACCCCTAACTCGTCAGGTTTGGCACAGAAGATAAAACCTATTTGCTATTCTTGATATGACACTTAGACCCCAGTGCATATCACTGACTTCTACCCAATTCCCAAGCAGCAAACACACTCAGCCCTTCTATCTTGCTTTTGCCTAGAAAATAAGTATCTCAGTCACACGGTCCTGCTGACTGGGTCTTGGGGTGTCATACAGCCCTTCACCTGCTGCAATGTGACAGGCGCCTTCACAGATGCCACCCACATAGATCTACAGCCGCATCACAGCTTCTGCCTCAGAACACAGCCCTGGTCTGCCCTAGGGACGCCAACAGCCACTTTAGACATATGGAGGCCACCATCCAGCCCATTCTGGATTTGAGAAAGCAGCTCTTCTCCCCATCAAGGCCAGGCATGGTGGCTCCTGCCTGTAATCCCAGCACTTTGGGAGGCCTAGGCAGGCGGATCACCTGAGGCCAGGGCTTGAAGACCTGCCTGGGCAACATGGCAAAACCCGCCTCTACTAAAAATACAAAAATTAACTGGGCATGTTGGCAGGCACTCTGCAATCCCAGCTACTCCAGAGGCTGAAGCAGGAGAACTGCTTGAACCCAGGAGGCAGAGATTGCAGTGAGCCAAGATTGTACCACTGCACTCCAGCTGGGCAACATGTGCAAAACTCCATCTCAAAAAAAAAAAAAGAGAGCACTATCAAGTAGGCAGCACCCAAGGGGAAGGTACAAGCCTGACTCATAGGAGACCTGCACCCATGCTTATGGACTGACTGTGGTGCCTAAGAACAGGCCACTGTGTCATAGGTATCAAGATCATCTCTGTCCACAGAAAACATTAACCCCCAAACTGCAGGAAAATCCTGGGGATAGTCTCTGGTTTATAACCCTAGCCCCACGCCAGGACTCTTTCTCATGTTGTGGCCAGAGAGCAGCTTGTAGACCCAGGAACGCCCACTGGGGCCCCACCTTAGAAGCAAACAGTGTCAGTGTCAGTGCCAGTGCAGTCAGCAAGGACACTTTGGCCCCAGGCAGCAGGAAGCAGGCAAGCCCAGAGCATTCATGTATGCACAGGGCAGGGTGAGGCGTTTCTTTGGACATGGGCTTGGGCATGAGCTAGGTGTGTGAGGTTCTTTGGGCAAGGCTGAGAGGAGTTCACATAGTGATGGAGGCATTCACCTGTCTGAATACCTAAGGCTCACAGAGAAGGAACAAATGGTGCTTGAAGGTGAAAATGCCAGGATGCCCACATAAGTGGTATCTAAAACATCTTTCACTTCTGCCTGGAAATCTCTAAGACACTTCCATAAGCCTCTCAGGGCCCATGAGCTGAAGCCAGACTCTTCATTCTTAAAGCTCTTGATCCCATCCAAGTGGGATTCTGTGTTGGACACCCTGTGTAACAGAGGTGGTCTTAGGGCCTTCATGTAGGGTCTTCCATCTGCATTGCTGAGGCCTCCCAGCCAGAAGGTCAGGGAGGCAGGAGCTAGGCTTTCCCAGAGGAGCCACATCCTCCCCTGGCCTACTGTCCCTTATCAAAGCTGACCTCAAAAAGAAGTCCTCAAAAGGTCCCAGCTGGGACAGAGCCCCTATGGAAATGACAACCCCACTGTGACTCCACTCAGCTTTCGCCATCCCCCTTCCAAACAAAGCCTCCTCCCACTAGGGGTTTCTCTCCCAGCTCACCACCACACCCCAGCCCACCTCCCTGCCTTCTGTGGGAAACCCACGGCCCCTGTATGATCCAGGGCCTCCCCACATCTCTGCAACCTCACTCACCCCACAACCCACTGCTCCCTGCTCCCCATGCCTGAGCTCCAGCCACACTGCACAGCTTGCAGTTACGTCAACACACTGTTCTGACTCTCTCATACCAGTCCCTCTCTCCTGACATTTGCACATCACATGCCTCCACCTGGAATGCCACCACTTCCATTCCCCTACCACACCCTCTGCCTGGCAAGCTCCTACTCACTCTGAGTCAACTCAGTTTCAGCCTCTTCCTCAAAGCCACCTGGTCAACAGGAAGTGACTCTTGCTCACCATCAAACGCCCCCTGCCTAGCAGTGACCCTGTGCCTCACTGCACAGTGCTTCAGCAGAAGAGAATGAAAACCCTAGGGCCATTATCATTTAACCTTCACTCCTACTGCGGCTGCAGCCCCTGCAGGCAGAGAATGCTAGGAGCCCCAGACAAGACTGCCATCCCCTCAGTAGGAGAAGAGAGGCAGAGATCTGAGCATATCAGAGGCTTTTCTGAAAATCCACACAATCTCAAAGGATGCAAAACCACAAACTCCCAACTCCAAAGAGATCTTTCTTTTCTTCAGGGAATTTAAATTTTATTTTATTTACTTATTTATTTTAACTTTAAAGTTCCAGGATACATGTGCAGAATGTGCAGGCTTGTTACATAGGTAAACATGTGCCATGGTGGTTTGCTGCACCCATCAACCCATGCTGCACCCATTACCCCTAATACCTAGGCTTAACCCCTAGGTATTAAGCCCAGCTGGAAGCCATCATCCTCAGCAAACTAACACAGGAACAGAAAACCAAACACGGCATGTTCTCACTCATAAGGGAGCTAAACAATGAGAACACGTTGACACAGGGAGGGAACTAAAGAGATCTTAACAGCTGTGTCTCTTCTTGATGACCCTAATACATCTTCTACCTTAAAAGTAGGCTGTGCTCAACTTTCATGACCAATTAATAGGCAATGCCTTATTTTCCAAGGAAGAGGGCACATCCCAACAGATACACAATGTGGACAAAGGTTTCCACCTAAAGTGATTCAAGTATTCTCTGAAGCCCAGTTCGACACAAACTCAGCTCACCCATCCTCCTTCTGCACCTATCCTTCATGCCTCTCTGGCCATGAAGGCTGCCCTTAACCTGGAGCCCTGACATTCTCACAAGGGACAAGCCCCAGACTGGCTCAGAGCATCCCATGGGCTGGGAGGGGGACCGGGAGGGACAGCTTTAACTGGCCCCTAGCGCACCTTTCTCACGTTATAGAAGTCACGGTGGGGGTTACTCTTCAACTCTTTGAACTCGGACATTTCGTTTAACATCTCATGAAGGCTGAACTTGGATTCCAGAAAGTTCAGTCGTCGGTGACAATAGGTTTTCCTGCAAGTTGGAGATGGGGAGAGACCATAGTTGAGCAGAAGTCACATTGAGCTCTCCAGTTTGGAGGCCTCCAGCATCTGCAGGGGCCAATCCCAGCTGGAAGGGTGGGGATGGAGCAGGGCAGGATGAGGTGGTTCTGGCTTTCTACAGACCCTACTGAACGGTTGAGTCACATCCACGGACTCTGTAAAGTCAGTGGAGAGTCAGGAGATGCTGCAGTAGCAGGCCAGCTCTGGGACATCAGACAAGTGTTTTGACTTCTAGCTTTAGGCATTTAGGGAATTAACCTCAAGCCTCCATTTCCCATGAGTAAATACCAGGTGGTAACAGCCAAGGTTGAAGTTAAAGGTTAAACTGGTTTATGCCTGGAAAAGGGCCTGACTCCAAGCACAGTGGACACTCACTGAAAGTCTCCCTCCTTCATCCCCTCCTTTCCTTCCTCTTTTCTATCCTCAGCCACTTGTCATTCCTTGAAGAAGGAAGTTGTTGCACGGAGGATTGATAGCACAATCAAACTGCAAGCCATGACCTGCCCACCTTGGGATGCAGAGGAACCAGCCCCCTGACCTAATGGCCATGGTCCAAGGACCTCTCAACTCTGAGGCTTCATGACAAGAAGAGGATGTTTTGCATCATGGGTGGATTGGGACTGTAGGGATATTTCTTACCGAGACAGAATCTTTGCAAGGACTGATGCCCCCAGATTCCCACCAACTCAAGGAAGGGGTCCATGATTTCTCAGCCAGCAAAGGCCACTGGAGATGGGGGTGCTCACTGCTGTGGCCAACCGCCAGCCCACACCCAGCCCAGGTGCCTGGCCACACACCTGCATCCACACCCACTCAGAACCTTTGACCACAATTCACGTTTCCCTGCTGTCTCATGGCCCCACAAACAGCAGCTTCCTTGGCATCTAATCACATAGACTTTCCATAAGAGCATCTGCCGGCGCTGCCACAGCATAGTCATCCATCTGCCCAGACAGACTCCAGAGTGGACAGAGCACAGGACAGCCTCAGAGTCAGAAGAGAATTTAAAGGCCATCTCAGTCTCTCTCCCGAGGCAGGATCCTCCTTGACAACCACCCAGATACCCAGATGGGATAGCCACTGCTTGCACACCTGCTTGAGGAACCGCCCCTGCCCTTCCCATGTCTTAGTTCTTAGGAGGACTAAGAGTCACACTGCCCATCCACCTTGGGCCCACTATGCTCCTTTGGAGACTGGTATCACAGGATTTGCAAAAACCCAGAGAGGTGGCCCTCAGGTGTGACCAGCACCTCCCATCACCCAGACTCCGAGGCTCGCAGGGTCCAGGCATGCTGACCTGCATTGCTGATCAGCCTCAGTGCCCACCAAGAAGCGAGGGGCCAAATTCAGGAAGACGGCTGCCCGCCAGGTTAGCTGGAGCCAAGCCCATAAGCATGATGGGGTCATGAAGCAAAGTTCCCCAGGTTCCCTGCATGCTCCTCTCCAGAAACCCAGAAAACCCAAAGCCTGAAGCAATGTCTTCATATATCCTCACCAAATACACTCATGCTCTGGGCTGGTAAGTCTCTGCAAGGCTGCTATCCTGCCTGGGGAGAGGAATGACAGCCATTCTGGGGCACCCAGGTGGCTACCAGCAAACAGAAGCTCCACACTATGTGTGCATAAGGGACAGGAAGGCCGGGCACAGTGGCTCAGCCTGTAATCCCAGCACTTTGGAAGGCCAAGGCAGATGGATTGCCTGAGCTCAGGAGTTTGAGACCAGGCTGGCCAACATGGTGAAACCTGTCTCTACTAAAAATATAAAAAATTGGCCAGGCATGGTGGTACGTACCTGTAGTTCCAGCTACCCAGGGAAGAGAATCACGTGAACCCAGGAGGCAGAGGTTGCAGTGAGCTGAGATCGCATCACTACACCCAGCCTGGGCTACAGAGTGAGATTTTGTCTCAAAAAAAAAAATAAATAAATAAAATAACAGGGAGTACCAAGTCTAAGGCTATGCCAGCCTATGAAGGAAAACTGTTGCAGAAACCCACAAAGCACTGAGGAAAGGGGAAACCATGCTCTTCCTGGGATGATTTAAGTACAGGGAACCCCAGGGCAGAGCGGTAAGGCCTTTCTCATCTCCTTCCCAAAGAACAGCACCTGTGCAAAGAGACGCAGCTGCGGGAAAGCTGGCTTACGTCGGGCCGTCGGTGATGAGAGCCAGGATGTGGCTCATGTCCACCGTATAGGTCTCCAGGTCAGGGTAGGGCAGGCTGTGCGGCTCCTGGCGCTCCAGCATCTTCTTGTTATCATACACAAAGAGGATGCCCCCCTGCATGCGGACCAAGTAATCCAGGTTGGAGGGTGCATCATCCAGGCAGTAAGGGTCTTCCTGGGGCAGCGGGGGAGGGTGGAAGTCTGCAAAACAGGATTGATGATGGCAAAGTACCCCTGACCTCAAGTGTACATATGGGCTCAAAAGACACAGAGGCCTGCCCTGGCCTTTCTGCCCCAAATCCGACCACCTGCACAGGCCCGCTTCTCATATGTTCTTCCCTGCTTCCTTTTTTCTCACCAGCACTTACCACCACGTCAAACCATGTCACTTCTTCATCGTGGATATTATGCCTTCTCCACTCCAATAGAAGCTCCACGCAGACAGACACTTTAATTTGTGCTGTTCACTGCTGAGTGTCTAGAACAGTCCCTGGCACATGCTGGCACTTCAGCAATTTTTTAAAATTTAACTAAAATGGGTTTCATTTTCCTCAGCACTGCAGGATCCCAGGAATACTAAAAAGGGCAGTGGTGTCTTCTCCCAGGAAGAGAACAGATTGCACCTGGACAATCTGTCTGGTGGCAATAACTGTCCCTGTCTTCCTACATCCTCCTGAGTCCAGGCCTACTGAGGGGATAGATGAAGAAGCCACCTCCTCCCTAAAGGAGCAAAGGATAGGAAACTTGTCTCCCACAGAGCAAGGAATGCCAATGATAAAGCCATCTGCTTCCCACCACTATAGGTTAAGGTTAGAATTAGCCAACAGGAAGCAAAAAACTCCTCTATGCAATTTCCCTGCTGTGAGACTTTCAGCAAACTCCTTTACCTCTCTGAGCCTGTCTCCTCATCTGAAATAACACCTCCCTGCCTTAACAGGCTGCTGTGAGAGTTGCAATAGTGTGTATAGGAAAATTCCTTATAAACAGTAATGCACTATAAATAATGAATTACAGGGCATTATTCTTACTATTCTCATAATGAGTTTTCCTGACTCTTGATAAACTCTGTCTCCGGCCAAGGAATGTATTGATGCTAAATATCAGTAGAGCTGGAGGCTTCAACTCCATGCACCATCAGGATCAGCTGCCGGCATAGGCAGGAGGAAGCTGCCAAGGCTTAGTGACCTACCTGGGCATCCTCCATCTGTGCTTGGAAGGAATAGACCATTCCTAGAGCATATGTGAGGAGCCATAGAGGGGCCAATGCAGGCAGAGCTGGAGAGGGATGTCTCCCATCAGCCATGGCCACAGGCCAGCTCAAGAGGCCCTAACATGTGCAGTGGTCTATGATATGCAGGCAGTTCAAGGCCTAGGTGAAGCTACAGCCTGCATGCTCAGAAGTTGCTCCTTTTTACCATACTCATTCCCAGAACACTGGGGTCCTCTGTCCATGTAAAGTACACATTTGAGTCATTTCTGTCTGTCTTTGCCAAAACTGGGATGGTCAGATTCACTTCCCTCAAATAGACAGGAAAATGGGCCCAAAGGGCTGAGATTTACCCAGGGCCCCAGGTGGTAACAAGATGCTCAATGTAGAGGACTTGAAATTCAAGGAAGCCAGAGACTGGGGCAACTTGGCACCACCAGCTACCCCCAGAGGCAGCCAGGTCCCAGGCACTGATGGAGACCACCAGGGTCTTCTGTGTCCCCCCACCACCAACTTTCAGGAGTGGAGTTTCCTATTGTCCTCATTACAGCCTCTACTGTTCCTACGACCTTCTTGGGTGAGGCTCCGCTAGGAAACCACCTGGCCCTCTCCAATCTCCCCTTCCTGAATTCTGCAGCATAAACATAGCTACTGTTTATTGAACACACACTAGATGCCAGAACTGCACTAAGTACTTCACATGCATTCTCCTGTTTAATCCTCACCACAGCCCTGGGAGATAGGTATTATTTGCATTTCCATTTTACAGATCACGTTTTACAAAGTGAGGCTTGAAGAAATATCTTTCCCAAAATCCCAAGAAATTGACAGAGCCCAGATACAAATGCAGGTGTTTTTGACACCAAAGCCTACATCCCCTTCCCAGGGAACATGTCCTCTGTTCCTACTCCCACCCTGATCCACCTTACCACCAATTTGGCATTTACTGTCTGATTGGGTTGTTTTAAATATGCCACATAAGGCCAGGCACAGTGGCTCATGCCTATATTTCCAGCACTTTGGGAGGTTGAGACAGAAGGATCACTTTAGCCCAGGAGTCTGAGACCAGCCTGGACAACATGGTGAGACCTGCATCTCTACAAAAAATAGTAACAATTTTTAAAAAATTAGCTAGGTGTGGTGGTGTGTGCCTGTGATCCCAGCTACTCAAGAGGCTGAGGTGGTAGGATTGCTTGGGCCCAGGAGTTCAAGGCTGCAGTGAACTGTGATTGCACCACAGCACGACTGCCTGAGCAAGACCCTATCTCAAAAAAAAATCCCACATGAGACTGTCTCCCTGGTGGACTCCCAAAAACAGAGACCATCTTTCACTTCTCTCTCTTAACTTCAACAGTTCAGCTCTGCACAGGGTTAGGCGTGTACCCCACATAGAATCAATCCTTGCGGAGAATCATCAAACATCAGTGTGGAAGCTGCCAATGAAAGGGCACTCTCCTTAAAATACCATCAGGGGAAATAGATCAAGCCAGCAAAAAGCCCTGACCAGCTCTCAGTCCACCCACACTTGGAACCCAACCTCCAGACAGAGCTCCGTACCTGGAAGGCCGTCTTCTGGAGGTGCAGTATCGGCCCGCCGATGGCCCAGGTACTGGGATGTGATCCGCGGGAAGCGGTGGTAGGCGAGCCGTGCATACTTCTCCCGGATCATCAGAGCCTTGGCCAGGCTCTTGGCTGCCTGCTCATAGTCCTCCAAAGTGATCTGCAGAACGGAGGTATGCAGGAAAGTGTTCACGCAGCAAGCCTGAGACTGCCACCCTTGGAAAGATCTGCTTGCAAGGTTGGCCTTTGCCTGGTGTCTGGGAACCTGGATCTCAGAAGGGTTCTCACCAATCCCTGACTAGTAAGAGTGGCTCACTGGCCCTAACCTGTTTGTACAAACAATAACGTTTATGCTAGACACCTTTCCTTCTGGGAGCCTGGAATTTGGGATGTGCTTTGCAGATGTGTGACTAGTAAAAACCCTGGCACCAAATCTCTAATGAGCTTCCCTCTGGTAAACACTTCTCACATGTGCTGCCATAAATCTGATGCTGAGGGTATTCCGTATGTTCCGGTAACTCTGCTGGGAGAGGACCATGAAAGCTTCACCTAGTATTCTCCATGTACCTCTCTCTTTACTGATTTGTTCTGTATCCTTTCACAGTCTTAAGCTGTAACTACAGCTATCTGCTGAATCCTGTGAGTCCTCCTGGTGAATCCTCCAACCTGGGAGTGGTTTTGGAGACTCCAACACAGGAGAAGTTAGGGTCACTGGAAGAGAGAGGGGTGCTCCAGACTGCACACCCAGAAGCTGGCCTCACATGCAGCTAATTAAACCACAAGTCTCTTTCTGCACCAGGCCCATGAAGGTACAAAGCCCGAGTCCTATCCCTGATGGCAACGAGTACCACCATTTTCAGCTGAGAAAATTCACGGGTTCTTCATATGTCAAAACAAAACAAAAAGCAAAAGCAACTCCTGCATGCTCAGCCTGCTCCTTTGCCAACCCCACACTTCTGATTAAATCTGTTAATCACCCAACTCATCCAGGCAACAAGCCCCATTGTCATGTGTTATATGCCAGAACCTCCCATAGATTTCATTTTGTTCCTTACTGCAACCAGTTTTGCAAATGGGAAAACTGAGGCCCAGAGAGGATAAATCACTTGCCAGGAAGCTACAAAGTCAAATTTCAGACTCTAATCTGATTGAGTCCCAAAGTCTAAGGATGTTCTGCTTTCCCAGAGCAGCCTCATCTTCAAAGATGAATGAGATAAATTCAATGGGCTCATTAATCTTAGTCTTTTTGGGAAGGATGAGAACTGCAGAAATGTGCTTAGGGAGACAAGTGGTCAAACAGACACAATCGGGGGTAGGAGGTGCAGCAGAGGAAGGCACTGCATGCTGGCGGAGCCCAGGGTGGGCGGTGGGGAGCGGGGGTGTGGGGCAGCTGGTGTCTTAAAGTGTCCTCCTCTGCTTTAATTTTGAAACATTTTAAACATAGACAAGCACCAAAAATAATATAACCTACCTTCTAGAGCTGACAATATTAATATTTAGCATAATTCTTTCAAATTTCTCACAAGTTTAAATAAATAAATCATCCCAGATACAGCTAAAACTACCCTCCTCCCTTCCCTATCCTCAGAGGGAAGAAGTCTGAATATATTTTTCCTATGCATGCTTTATAATTCTACTAATACTACTTCTTTCTTTTTGTTACGGTGGTGGATTCTCCTTTCCTGCCTCCAAATGTCCCCACAGGGTATGTTAATTCCATTTTACACTTTCCAGTGGATGGCTTCTGAGAGCAGCAGGAATAGGTGAGCAGACACAGACATCTTAAAGAAAAATATGTCCCTGCCAACAACAAAGCCAAACACCTTCTCTGGGGAACCAGTGGACCCAGCATCACAAGGAGCTCAGGCCACGGCCAAGGACATCTGAGAGGATGCTCAGGACCGTTCAGCTGGTGGTCAGTCCACCTTGACTATTGCTTTCCAGTGACCTGCCCAGCTGCCTGAGGCTGAGTGAACACCAAAGACTCGTGGTCAGGATCCTGATCTCCAGATAAGGTTTGAATGGTCCCCAATCCAACCTAAACTCCCCTCCATAGGAACTTAATTAAAATAAACTACGACACATCCTCACAAAGAAATACTATGCACATATTTTTTAAAAGAACAAAGAAGTTTTTTATATATTGATACGGCATTATCTTTAAGATGTACTGTTAAGTGGAAAATGCAAGATGTAGTATAATGTGTATAGTAAACTACCATTTGTGTAAAAATAAACTATGTATGCATAATTAATTGTAGGTACATAGACCACATATGTGAGAATACATAAGAAACCAAAGCCAATGGTTGCCTCTGAGGAGGAGAACAGGTGCCTGAATAACTGGTATCATTTTTGTATCTTTTAAATGTTGTATTGGCCAGGTGCAGTGGCTCAAGCCTGTAATCCCAGCACTTTGGGAGGCCAAGGCGGGTGGATCACGAGGTCAAGAGATTGAGGCCATCCTAGTCAACATGGTAAAACCCTGTCTCTACTAAAAATACAAAAAATTAGCTGGGCATGGTGGCGCGTGCCTGTAATCCTAGCTACTCAGGAGGCTGAGGCAGGAGAGTTGCCTGAACCCAGGAGGTGGAGGTTGCAGTGAGTCGAGATTGCGCCATTGCACTCCAGCCTGGGTAACAAGAGCGAAACTCCGTCTCTAAATAAATAAATAAATAAATATTGTACCATATGCAAGTATTCTCCATTGCACACAACCAAAAATAATAATTTTGATAGCTAGGGCAAATTTTATAGGAGAGCAATTGCTCTCTCAGATTTACCATATTTTCTACAGCTACTGTTAAAAAGAGAGACTAACAAAGCCAACTGAGGTATAAGCAGTGAGTTGGGGCCAGGGAGATGGAGCCAAGTTTAACCCTGGCACTAACTCAGTGATATTTCTCTCCAAGAAGTAGGCATTCAGAAAAATGCACCATCCAATCAGGTTAAATTAGCACATTTTCAATGATTGCATTAACTGACTTGGTGTAAACTAAGCTTGTTCAATTTCTACTCAAGATTCTCTCTTCCTGGTTGAGGGGGAATAGCTATATTTAAGGGTACTAAACCCACACATGTAAAAAGAGATGATTTAGCAATAACGAATTTCACATAAACCAGTCAGTACCATTACTTTGAATCTACTAAACTTTGAATATGGCGACACTGAAAGGCCCAAGCTGGCAGCTTTCTCAGTGGGCTATGGGGACCTATGCCAGCTTTCTAGACTTAGAGAACATGTGGAACTTATAAGCCACAGCCACAGGGTGCCAGCCTGCAGCCGGGGGCCCTCCTCCGGAACAGGCAGCCACTGAGACATCACACCCACACCCCACAACCTCTGCTAGGACCCTCTTTGCCTCCTGTGCCTCCTCTCCACCTTCTCCCAGATACCCACTGACAGGGCCAGGCTCCAGAGGTGGGCACGACCCTGTGGCCCATGGGGCCCCTGGCCTCTGCATGCAAGGCCCATCCAATACTCCCACAGACACCTTACCCCGGCACAGTAATCTCCGCTGATGGTGACCCGCTGGAACTCGGGCATGGCATAGGGTGTTGGCGTGGGCTGGGAAGTGGCTCCAGTGAGCACAGGGGTTGTGGGAGACATGGCCGGACTGGTTGTCGGGGGGCCCTTCCAATCTTGCTGTGTCGGCATTTGCAGAGACAGGGACTGGGACCGAATCATCTTGAAACTTTTCTTTCTAAGAGCCAAGGACAAGGAAAAGTGGGAGACATCAGCAGCTACTCAGGGCAAGTGATAAAGACTCTTTGCTGTGTGTGGCAGGAGAATTTTGCTATGATTAACTAGTGGTGCTAGCCCTACCATTAAGAAGTTTCTAGTTATTCATGCCTTCCTCTTACACGTCTGCATAAGAGAGAACACAGCCCTCGAGACACCCCTGCCTGTGGTCACCATGCACTGCTCAGAGCTGTTGCATAGCCCACAGAAGATGAAAGCAGGCAAATGCCCCAGGAGACAGACAGACAAACAGCAGACCACACTGCAGGGGCTCTAAAACCACAGGGCACTAAAGGGGAGGCAATATGAAATCATGTAAGCTTTCCCCAGTGGGGACAGCATGCTAGCTTCAGAAAACACAAACTTTAAGTCCCAACATATGAATGGTCTCGGGAAGGACCAGGAATAGGGTCACAGAGAGACAATCACACTGATTTTCACACAGTTAGACATTTGGGGCATTGGAGGCAGAAGAGATAGGGATGCTCAATGAGTCCAATCTCTTTGTTTTACAAAGAAGGAGTCAGAGAGAGTACTCAGGACCCCCGTGGACTAAGGGCTGCCAGCCAAGCTTACAGGTATCACAGGCCCCATGGTTGGCAGCAGACCTACTGGGTGCCAAGGAGATCTGCAAGATGAGCCTGCTTCCCGCGGACACTTTCCCAGAAATGGGAAAGGGCTTGCACAAAGTCACACTGCACAGTGGCTGCTCCAGCCAGCCTCCACCCCTGCTGCTCCCTCCTCTAGCCTGCCATGTGCCATCCCAGCTCCTGCCGCTGGAGCAAACACAAATCTGTACCTCTGTTGAGGGAAAGGGATTGACAGGCATGAAATTCAGGTCCTTCTGGACCTGTCACCTTGACACCAAAAGATGATTACACTGACTCTTGGGCCCAAGGTTGGTTTAAAATGCCACAAGCCCATGCTTATATGCAAGGCTGATTTGTGATGACTCCACCTTCCTCATTAATGAAATAGACATCAGATAATGTCACCACAAGTCTCTTCTTCAGGAAGAGAATGACCCAGCATTAAGGTGAGGCCATCAGCACTCCCCTCCCACCTCATGTTTCTTTCTGCCTCCAATGGAACCCAGCTTCCCTGTGATGCCACTCCACAGTGTCCAATGCCAGACACCAACTAACTACCTGCCCTACCTTGTGCCACGGGGGCCCAGTAGCTTCATGAGTGTTATTCCACCACAACCACAGCCACCAGCAAGGACTCAGTGACAAACTGTGACCCACTGGATCCTCCTCTTCTCCAGGCACCAGTGTGATACCTGTAGGTATTTGATCCCCAAATGGGTTTCAGGGCTCACCCAGAAGCAGCTGTCTTCCTCTTGGCCTGTGGCCAGATCGCCTCACTGCCAAGTTTTCAAGAACCACAGTTTTCCTCCTGTGTTTATACACCCAGTGCTTACCATGGCCCTCTGGTTCTCACCTGCCTACCCTCTATCACATCTCTGGGACAAGGCTGTTTTCACATGTAAGATGGAGGTGGCTCCTTTTCAGGAGTTTACCTTCCCCCTGTTCCTGGCCCTGATAAGAGACACACTGGGCTGCTTCTGCTCAACCTGAGCCCAGAGAGCCCTCAGCTTCAGCTTTCCCTGGTCTGTCCTCTATCAGATGGAGTTCAGTCAAGCATCCTACCCTAGGGTTGCCACTTTGTCAGTCACTCCTCAGAAGCGGATTCATCTTGAGGATGAGTTCTCCCTTTGGCATCTTTTGGATGTTCTCACCCAGAGGGAGAGCCATTACTTTGGACTCTCACACACATTCTGACCTCAGCTGGGTCGCATGACATTCTAATTTCTGTGTCACTCACATGCCTGCCAGGTAATTGTTTTTATCTCTATGCAACCTTACCCCCAAATGCCTCAGCCAAGGCTGCCTGAGGTCTGGTCCTACCAACAAGAAGCAACAGGTGACATCTAAGGTGAGCAACAACTAAGAAAAGTTTAAAACACACACACACACATATATATATACATATATATATATATATATATATATATATATATATATATACACAAACATACAACCCAAATGCTGGGAGATTGCCTAAGCCAATGGCCTACCAGGCTGTTCATGTGCTTCCGCCCCAGTGAGGAAGCTAGTTCCCACAAACTGGTGCCCAAAGAATTCTCCTTCTTGGGGATATCCATTATGGTGACAACCTTGGTCTTCAGATGAGCTCCAGATTACCATGTATGAGCATCTGTGGGCCGGCAGCTCAGATACTGCAGGCATGAGGCATAGGTTTAACCACAGATGGGCTAACTCCTCAGAGCTCACTTACCTTGGGCTTGGAAGAACCAGAAGTCAACCAGAGCTTGTATCTCAGGAAACTGGAAAAGTTGTATGGAGCCCAAAGATGACCCTGGATTTGTTTTCTATTGCTGTAGAAAAAATTGCCACAAACTTGATGGCTTAAAACAACAGCCATTTATTAGCTCACAGTTATATAGGTTAGAAGTCTGAGTGGGCTTGGATGCGCTCTATTCTCGAGTTATCAAAAGCCCAAATTCAAGATGTTAACCATACTGTGCTCTTGTCTGGAGGTTCTGGGAAAGAATTCACTTCCAAGTTTATTCCAGTTCTTGGCAGAATTCAGGTCTAGTGGCCATAAGACTGAAGTCCCAGGCTGTTTCCTGGCTTTGACCAGGGGTCACTCTCAACTCCTACTGACCTAATTCCAATCCCTGCACATAGCCCCCTTAATCTCCAAAGCTAGGAGTGGTCATTGCGTTGTGCTGAGTCTGTCCCGCAGACTCTGGCTGAGCAATGGATGAAAGGCATATGCTGACACAGGTTTTTGCCTAGAGCGCAGCTAGGGTACCACACAGCTTACAGACCCCAAAGAGGGAGTGTGGCTGTGCAGCCCCAATATGCCAGAGACCCTCACATTTATTTAGTACAGATTTAATGACAAAGGTCTTCAGCAGACACCACTTGTGGGTAATTAACATTGCCGACCCCCTGAGTAGAGAGCCGTCAAGTGTACAGATGAGCAAAGATCAGTCTTAGGACAACATGAGTAAACAAGCTATTTAGATAAGCTCTCTTACATTCCTTTGCACCAACTCCTTGCCTTTGTACCTCAGGGTAAGGACAGCCACCTTCAGCTCATTCCTTCCCAAAGCTTTGCAAAACCTCCCTGCCTTTCAAGAAGTTTTGCATCTTTCCTTAGAATTTTTCCTTCCACCCTGACCAATCTTCTACATCTCCTCTTTTTCTGTTTTTTTTTTTTTTGTTTTTGCATTAGGTTTTGTTGACTGAAGAGTATAGACATGAGCAACAACAGGTTTAATTCACGCTCTGGCTTTGCATCTTAGAATTAGTAAATAACATAAGACAAACATGAGTATAATCAGTAACATTTTTTTTCAATCAAGGAGTGACCTGTATTGTTACTTAGCACCTTAGTCCAATGTGTGCTGTTACTGAGGGACCCCACAGGGGGTATAATAATCCTTCTTAGCCAAGTAGTTGTGTTGTTAGAAGCTGGGAAGGGGGTGCCTGCCCAAGTGATAGGGCAGAAGAAAGGCAGATTTAGAAGATAAGCTCAATAGAGTGTAGCAGGTACAGGTTGCAGGCAAAGTAAGAGAAGAAAAAAGGAACAATTATCTGACATGAATGTGTGCCTGGAGCACAATCTGCTCAACCTCCTGAGTTGTCTTCTTCAGCATAATATCTGGAACCTATGTTGTCCAAAGAAGCTGCATTGTCCGGGGCTGCAGGTCTTGCAGGGTTATTTCCTTTATTTTTGATACCAGCTTAGGTTCTGGACATGCTATGGTAAGGTTTGATGCAGCGTGCTGGAATCCAAAGAGGACCTGAGGGGGTGTGAACACAAGCATATCTTCTTCCCCATGTTAGCAAATCATTTGGACCATACCAAACATTACTATTTACATGTTTCCATAAAACTGTGGGTTTTATGTCTTGAGAGGTTTTAGCAAAGTGGTTTTCTATAGCTGATTGAAATTTGTCATTTAAATTTAAGAAATTAAGGGTAGATAAGGCTTGTGCTAGTAGTGATGTCATAACTTGTTGGTCTGCTTGATCATTTCCATAAGCCAGTGGGCCAAGCAGTGAGCTGTGTGCTCAAATATGTGTGATAAAAATAGGATATGTTCATTGACCCAGCAATTGCTGAAGGCTAAGAAAAGGTGCACACAGGGTGGGCTCAAGAGTGGATTTAATGAGGGCTGTCTCAAGGTTCTGCAATAAATAAACAGAGCAAGCAGAGTCGCTAACAGTATTAATGGGCTGAGTGTAAAAGGTTTCCAGGGCCAATACTGGGCTCCAACCTCAGCTCTCTGAGTGCCAGTAAATATAGATCAAGTGAGGGAATTATGTGGCTTCCACCAGAATGGCTTTTCCTTTCTTACCAAAGCCATCAGTAAACAGCATTAAAGAGGCATGGGGGGGTGAACTACTTTTTTAGGTATAACTACGGGACTACAAGATAAGAACTGAAGTAGTTTGTCAGCAGGAAGGGCATGCTCTAAATAAATGGCCGGCATAATCAGACAACGCCATCTGAAGATCTAGAGATAGGGGCAAGACTGCTTTGAATTGATTTTTATTCAAGGGAATTTTTATGACATCAGGGTCATAACCTAGCAACTGATTGCATCATCTGTGGCCTGTACAGATGACTTTACTAACTAGCTGGATATACGGAGATAGTGTTTTAGTCCCAGTATGTGAGCAAAAATCCCATTCTAGGAAGCACAGTCCTGGGGCCATCTGTCCTATTAATCCTGTTAGGGAATGGTTAATAGGAAAAATAAATAATTGGAATAAATATCCTGGGTCTATGAGATCTAGCTGCCCCTGATAAATAGCTTGCCCTGTTTCCTCAATTTCCTTTTTTGCTGTAGAGTTTAAATACCTGAGAGAATCCAGGGCAGCACTGCCTTTAAGACAGAAAACAGGTTTTGCAACTTATCAGTAGCTATGCCCAAGGTTAGGTGAAGCACTTAATATCACTCAGTAATTTTTGATAATTACTTAAGGTATGTAACTTGCTAGTATTTAATTTAACCTTTTGAGGTTTTACTGACTGGGAAGTCAGTATACAGCCAAGACATTTCCAAGGAGAGGACATTTGTACTTTTTCAGGTGCTGTGATTAAACCTCTTAACTGTGTATTCCTTTAGACAGAGGCATATAAACTTAAAAGTACTGGCTCTGCTGCAGCTGCCAGTAAATTATCATCCATAAAATGAATAATCTTTCAATTAGGAAATTCTTTTCTACTGGGGAGCAAAGCCTGATTTACATGATATTGACACTGCATTCCTTGAGGAAGCACTTTCCAATGAAATCAAGGAGCTCACCTTTCATTATCAATAGCTGATATTATAAACACAAATTTTTCTCTGTCCTGTTCTGCAAGGGGAATAGTATAAAAGCATTCTTTTAAGTCAATAATGAGTATAGGCCAATTTTGAGGAATTGCCACAGGGGAGAGGACCCCCTGCTGAAGAGGCCCCACAGGCTGCAAATTAGCATTAATAGACCATAAGTCATACAAAAGTCTCCAGTTGCCAGACTTTTGGGGAATGATGAAAATGGACAAATTCCAAGGGCTGTTTGATGGTTCTATATGGCCAGCTTTTAATTGCTTCTCAACTAATTCATAGGCTTGCTGTAATTTCTCTCCCTTTAATAGCTATTGTTCTACCCAAATAGGATTTTGAGAGAGCCACAGCAGGGGTAGGGGAATAATAACAGCGGCCATCATTAGAAAGAGGTTTGCATGGGGCGCGGTGGCTCAAGCCTGTAATCCCAGCACTTTGGGAGGCTGAGGCGGGTAGATCACAAGGTCAAGAGATCGAGACCATCCTGGTTAACATGGTGAAACCCCGTCTCTACTAAAAATACAAAAAATTAGCTGGGCATGGTGGTGCGTGCCTGTAATTCTAGCTACTCAGGAGGCTGAGGCAGGAGAATTGCCTGAACCCAGGAGGCGGAGGTTGTGGTGAGCCGAGATCTCGCCATTGCACTCCAGCCTGGGTAGCAAGAGCAAAACTCCGTCTCAAAAAAAAGGGGGAAAAAAAAAAAAAGAAAGAGGTTTGCTGTTTACATAATTCATTAAATTCTACCCTCCAGAGGAGGTATGGACTAGCCTCTAAAGTTGTTTTAGCTAGCGCTGACCAGTCTTAAGGGGTCATATGGAAGTTGTCTGCTATGGCTTTAATTAATTCTTAGTAAATAGGCTAGTGGCTTTGTTTTTTTAATGCTTTTTCTTATTTCTTCCTAAGTGTTGAAAGTAATGGGTTTATGTACCAGGTTGCCTTATTGATTCTACATCACCGGGCAGGCCAAGAGCTTCCCTTCTAACGCTGCTTGTCTAAGACAGGGTCCTATAGCTGTAGTATCTCCCTTGTCTTTTTTCCATTCTACTGGGGGAGGGGACTCAGAGAGAATCTCTGTCTCCTCTGTGGCACCTTTACCCGATAATTGTGGGGTTGAGGGAGAGAAAGGAGATGGTAAGGTAGGTGAGGGTTCCTCCTCCCTTCCCTTCTTAGGGTCTTTGTGTAGAGCAGGGCCAAAGCAGCCCTAACTAAGGCCCATAATGTTAAAGATGTTACTGGGACCCATTGCCCTTGGGCATAATGTTGTTTCAGATTTCTTCCCACTTGTTCCCAGAGCTCTAGGTTCAGCATGCCTTCTTCTGGGAACCATGGGTTATGGGAAGCAACAGTTTGCATTAGGTCCCTTAACTGAGCCTGCAAAACTGAGGTTTCACTAGCTTTAAGCAGCTGTTTAAACATTTTTATACACTGTTTCTATTGGGCAGAACTGTTGTCCCATGATGAAACCCTAGCCTGAATAATTCCCTCAAACTTGGAAATCCTAACTAGGCACCAATGACTTACTGTCTGTGCAGTCTCTCCACATTCATTTTAGAGGGTTCTGTCATGATCCACTGAAGCATTCCTCATGCAGGAGCACCAGCTGCCAAGTGTGTCCTGCAGACTCTGGCTGAGCAATGGATGAAAGATATACACTGACACCAGTTTTTTGCCTGAGAGTGTGGTGAGCGGACCACACAGCTTACAGACCCGGAAGAGGGATGCAGCCATGCAGCCCTGATATGACGGAGATGCTCACACATATTTAGTACAGATTTAATGACAAAGTTCTCGCGAAAACACCATTTGTGGGTAATTAACATTGTTTACCCCTCCAAGTAGAGACCCGTCATGCACGCAGATGAGCAAAGGTAGGTTTTAGGACAACATGAGTAAACCAGCTATTTAGATAAACTCCCCTACCTTCCTTTGTACCTACTCCCTGCCTATTGCCTCAGGGTAAGGACAGCCACCTTTGGCTCTCTCCTTCCCAAAGCTTTGCAAAACCTCCCTGCCTTCCAAGAAGAGGTTTGCATCTTTCCTTAGAATTTTTCCCACCACCCTGACAGATCTCCTGTAGTGTTGCTGCTTTGAATTTCTCTGACCTCCCTTCCTACTCTCAGAAAGCTGTTTTTAAGAGCTCATGTGATTAAATCAGGCCTACCAATAACCCCCTGTCTTAAAGTCAACTGTGCCATATTCCATAACATCAACACAGGAGTGATAACTCATCCTATTCGCACCATCTGGAGATTAAGGAGGGACATCTTTGGGGGCCATTTTAGAAATTCTACCTCCCCTAGGCCCATATCTAGCATCCATTATATACAACCAAGGCCTAGCCAGTAAAGATGAAAGGTTGGAGCTGAGTGACTGGGTGTTTTGGGTATGAGTGTCAGAGGTTTGCCTCTGTGTCTCTGCCCAAATCTCATGTCAAATGGTAATCCCCAATGTTGGAAGTGGGGCCTGGTGGGAGGGGACTGGATCACGGGGATGGATCCTTCACGAATGGTTTAGCAGCATCCCCTTGGTGCTGTTCTAGTGATAGTGTTTTCATGAGGTCTGGGCATTTAAAAGTGTGTAGCACTTCCCCCACCCATCCTCACCGCCTTTTCCTCCTGCTCACATCATGTAAGATACCTGCTCCTGCTTTGCCTTCACCATGAGTCAAAGGTCCCTAAGGCTTCCTCAGAAGCAGATGCTGCCATGCTTCCTGTACAGCCTGCAGAACTATAAGCCAATTATACCTCATTTCTTCATAAATTACCAGTCTCAGGTATTTCTTTACTGCAGTGCAAACTAATACAATGAGTGAGTGTGTCTGTGAGTGTGTGTGTAAACAAAACTGATTTGGTTCCCCTCTTAGAAAGCACTTCCTTCCGATGGGCCAAGGTCTGTGTGTCCACTGTCCCACCTGCTGTACCTTGCACTAGCCCCTGGAGCACCAGTGTTTTCTCAGTCACAGCTGGCACACCCCCTCCCTCCCAACCCATACTTGCACCTGGCAGAAGCATACTCCTGCCAAGGAGCTGGCAGAGTGTGGGGCCATGATGACACCAGCTCCAGGCCAAGCCTGAGGGCCCAGAGGGCCAGGAGCAGCTTTATCATCCCTAAAATAGATGGACTTCCTAACACATGAGGACATTCTTGCTATCCAGGCCCCCAAGACAAAGAGGTGATCCGGTCACCTTGGCTGTTGTTAAGCATCTCACCTGCCAGCACCTGTCTGGTGCCCCACCTGCTCTAGGGCCCTTGGTTGCCCCTGCCAATCACTAAGTCTCCTCCTTTACCCTGCTGCACTCCCCAGCCATCCTCTACTCTAAGGAATCAGGCTCCCCAGGGCCTTCCCTGTACAGCACTCATATGCTAAAGTGAGGAACCCTTCGGGCCCTCCTTGCTCTCCTAGTGAACAGCCAGCATCTCCCCAGGGGCCATCTGAAGCCCACTGCCCTGTGTGGTCTGCCCGGATGACTACCAGGCAGGCAGGGGCACTAGAGCCAAGCTTTCACCAAGCTCTCAAATGTGTACTATGAGCTAGGGACCACACACAGACCCCACTTCATTCAATGAACTACTGTGTGCCAGGCTCTAGGGGTAGAGGAGTAGATAAAATATAACTCCTGCCTCCACGGGCTGACTGTGATGGCCAAGATGCACGAGACAGTTCCACAGATTGTTATCATACAATGTGGTTGGTGTAATGAGATGCCCTGGATATTTTGGGATCCCAGAGGAGACACTTAATCCAGACTGGGGGTGGGAGCAGTGGACAATGGGGTCAAAGGGGGGATATTTCAGAACAAGGAGGCTGGTTTGAACTCCTCCCCCGCCACCCCACTTAGCTCATTGTAGCAGCCCCTCCATATGAGAATTGTTAACCTAAAGGTTGGAAGTAGCAGTCACAAACCAGCACAGGGTTTTGCGAACAATGGGAATCTGAATGCTGTTAGGCAGGAAGGCATCCTCCACTTCTACAGGCTCTCACTGCTGCTGCTCACACCGCCCCGGCACTGGATCACCTGGAACTGGGACTCCCATCTATGGAGAGAACCAGGAGGAGCTGGTACCTTCTCTGTACTTGAGACCAGAGGTCCCAGCCTATCTCATGAAATATGTTGCATGATGGGCACTATAAGAGGGGTCCCTGCAGAGAGCACAAGGGCCCACAGAGACCACTCACTCTGCACGCCCAGCCAGATGACCAGCATCCTGGCAAGGTGGGTGTAACTTTGATACTAATACTTTGCAGCCAGTCATTTGTGAAAACTGACAGCCCCACCCTGTCTCTCCCTGAGCTCCCCTCTAGAAACCTGACCCCATCTTCATGTCTCCCCAACCCCCCCACCACTGTAATCTCCACTCATGTCCCATCATTCACCTTCACTTCTCCCTTCCTCAATCCTTCCCAGCTGCCCTTCCTTCCTAAAGACCCAGGGATAAAAATGAAGTACAATCTGTACTACCTGTTAAGTGTTACAATCTCTCTCCCTAACTTTGTTTATATTTTTACTTTTATTTTGACACAGGGTCTTACTCTGTGACCCAAGCTGGAATGTAGTGACATGATCTCAGCTCACTGCAACCTCCTCCTCCTGGGTTCAAGCAATTCTTGTGCCTCAGCCTACCAAACAGCTGGAACCATAGGCACACATCACCACACCCAACTAATTTTTGTATTTTTGTAGAGACAGGGTTTTGCCATGTTGGCCAGGCTAGTCTCAAACTCCTGGTCTCAAATGATCCACCCACCTCAGCTTCCCAATTTCTCCCTAACTTTTTCTTTTTTTTTGAGACAGAGTCTCCTTCTGTCACCCAGGCTGGAGGGCAGTGGTGCGATCTCAGCTTACTACAAGCTTTGCCTCTCAGGTTCAAGTGATTTTCCTGCCTCAGCTTCCGAGTTGCTGGAATAACAGGAGTGCGCCACCACACCCAGCTAATTTTTATATTTTTACTAGATACAAGGTTTCTCCATGTTAGCCAGGCTAGTCTCCGACTCCTGACCTCAGGTGATCTGCCCACCTTGACTTCCCAAAGTACTGGGATTACAAGCATGAGCCATCACACCCAGCCCAATCTCTCCCTAACTTTAAAAGGGGATAGATTGACTTTAAAAGGGGATAAATTGACTGTTTCAAAGGAAGCTCCTATGTCAATGACCCTGACTTTTTTAAAAGTTGCCCATTCTTACACGTTTCATAAAATAAAGTGACTTAGCAACACTTTAGCTACGCTATGCTCAATTTATAACGCATATCTTTTCTCAATTTCACTCAAAATATTCTAGGGAAATGGCTGTTCTAAATAACCAAATTTTTCAGCTAACAAAGTTTGCCCCTTCTATATCCTAATTTAAAAAAAAAAAACAATTTTCTGACATATATATATATATATAATTCCTGCTTTCTTCCTCAAAGCATGCTGAACATAATTTAAAGTTCTCTCAATGACTCAGGATCATCACTGTATTATCCAGGCATGATCTCAGAGGTGTTTTATCCCTAAACTACTGTGCTTCAAATTCTTGTGTCTGCTTTTCATAATTACCGTTTCCTCTCTCTCTGTTGACTGTCAAATAACAACAATAACAAAACAGGACCATTAATGGTGCTCCAAGCCCTGTGCTAAGGATGTTTTGTGTATTAGCTCATTTAATTCTCACAAGGTAGGTCCTTTTATTATTCTAATTTGCAGTTTAGGAAACCAGCTCAGGCAGTCATGAGCTTTGACCAAGGCCATTCAGTAGTAAATGACAGGGGTGCCACTTGAACCTAACAGGTCTGACCCCAAAGCCCAGGCTTATAATCACCACAATCACCTCTGTGACACTGCCTATAGAAGCCCCTCTCCCTACTTCTAATTTGCTTCTTTAAATCTGCCAAAGGATAAGAAACAAGATAGCCAGGTTAGAGAACTCCGTGTAAAGTAAGAATAAATAGGAGATGAGATGGGAGGTGCCGCAGATGGAGGGGGCAATAGGAAGAGGGTGTCCTCCAGGAAAATGTTAACTTTCAAATGTTTACATATAAAGCCACCTCTAGTGAGCAGAGAAACTAAAAGACAAAACTGGGTGTGCACAGACCCCAGAAGAGAATGCTGGGGCTTCTGACAGTCCAGGGACCAGGCTTTCCTTCAGGAAAGAAGCCAATGGACAGAGGGGGAGCTTTGGCCAGCTTCCCTCCATTTCACTCTGAAGCAGCAATTACATGCTAGGGGGCAGCACCTAGTGTCATTCCAGGGTCTACAGACCAGAGAACCAAAGACAGTACCCCTGCCTGAAGAGGGAATATCCTCCAGGTTGAAGTGTGGGGTCTAGATTCAAAAGATGTGGGCTCTAGTTCCTGCTCTGTCATTTACTCACTATGTGTCTTTGTGAAAGTAAATGTGACTTCTCTGAGCCTTAGTTTCATAATCTGCAAAATCAGAATACTAAGAATATCCATTTGATGAGCTTGATGTGAGAATGAAAGGATGAATGCAACCTACACAGATCAGTAATTAGTCCACAGCAAGCACTCGATGGCAGGAGCTGCTATGGCTGCCTGTCTCAGCAGCAGGAAGTCGGAGACATTGCTTCCATTTACTCGGGGTGCACTGTAACCCAACACTGTCCTAAGCCTTTTACCTGTGGATTCCCTCATTACTCACAATCCCTATGAAGGTAGCTGTTATCATCTCTACTTTATAGATGAGGATGAAGCTGAGACCCAAAGAGATTTCCCAATTTGTCCAAGATCACAGAGCATGCCAGTGAGAGGGGGGTCCAACAAGTTGCAGCTACCCTGATGTGGTGTCCATGGTGGCAATGGGGAGGCAGGATGTCTTCCTCTGCCGCATACCCACTGCCCACCAACTAAGGTCCACACTGGATCCAGTCCTCAAGGAGCTTCTAGTCAAATGGTGCAGACAGATGCAAACTAAGACACCACAGCCTAGGCAAGAGTTTTTGGAGAGAAGTTTGCAGGGGAATTTCTGGAAACCACAGAGCACCATTCAGACTTAGAGTAAGAAATTTTCCATTTTGCCCTGCCTGAGTCTGGCCATTGAGAAGAGCACAGTCTCTGCAGCAGATTTCAGGCCCAGTGTCACTCTGTAGTAGAAACTGGTCCCAGAAATTTATTGTTCTTGGTAATAAAAACATGCCAGGATTCCTTTTCCTCTCATTGTTAGGGGTCTCAAATGCTCCATTTATAACACACAGAAAGTCCTGCAGACCATTCAGTTGATGAAGTCAGACCTTCTGTTCTACCCATGGAGAATGATAGTCTCTATAGTCATGCTCTTCTTGACCCTCCAAGGATGAGCACACTGCTGGGGCTGGGGCCACCCCACCCCATCCAGCACAAGACTGGCACTCAGAGGTTACCAGCGGCACCTATGACTCCTGCCTTTATGGGCTCGCAGTCCTTTCAAGGAAGGAAAGCATCTTATGAGCAGTGAAGCTCTGTTCTTGCCTTTACACCAGTAGTCAACTTTTTACTTCTTTCTAAACGAGTTAAGGAAATGCTGAGCTTCTATACTACCAAGAAAGGGAAAGACTTGCCTTTACACTGAGGCACTATCTAGTCTGATCACAAACTAGGTCTGAGAGGGCTCAAAGATCTACATGTCAAATATTGATGTTTGCAGGGTCCTGGGCAGGTGGAAAACTAGATACAGCCGGGGTGCGATAAACTGTGAAAGGATAAGGGCTTCTCATTACACTTAGACTCCAATCCCAACTTCTTATCAGGTAGCACAAGGCCTGTCTGATCTGGGCCGCAAAAGTCTTTCAGCCCTGGTCACAGCACTTCTTCCTTTAACAGACCTCTAACCACATGGACCTCCTGGAAGAGAGTTGGGGGGCCTTTGCCCTAGCTGACTCTTTTACCTGGAAGGCTGCATAGCTGGCTCCTTCAGACTCTGAAGCATTAGCTAAGATGTCACCTCCTTGGAGAGACCTTCCCTGACTTCCCTGTCTAAAAAAGGATTTTCTTTCCCCCCTCTTTCTCCCCAACCCCATCTCCTCCTTACTCATCTCTTTCATAGCACTTGTGCTGCTCCTGAGGCTGTTTGCCTTCAGAACCATTCCTCATCCTCTCCTGTGTTTCCCAAGTGTGCCAGCAGGATTCTGGCTAGCTTTGGCCCATAGCCATTGGAGGAACCTGGAAGGTGCAGGAAATGTCAAGCTAGGTATTGCCTCCGCCCATCTCTGCCTTGGGAGGCATGTCTGCAGCTTCCACCTCTCCCACTTGGCTCCAGTTTCCACTAGAAAGGCCATCACAGTTCCACCTTCCCCAGGGTGACCCCACCTTGTCTCTCCTGTCTTGGGTGGTAGCTGCTCCCTTCTGTGTCTAATCTCTAAGCTGCCTCTCTCCCCTATTTGGCTTCTCAGCTCTCTACCACCTGTGTAACCGATTCCCTGCATTAAAAGTCTAATACTTCGTTAGTTTTTGATTTTCTGGTTGGTCCCTGACTGATACAGTACTTACCATAACTTGTAGTTTTTAATTAATTTGTCCAGTTACTTAATTATTGTCTAGACCCAGGGACTCTACCTATCTTGTTCATTATAACATCTCCAGTCCCAGCACAGCATTCGGCAAATATTAAGCTGTGTTCATTAGTAATGCAAAATGCTTGTCAAGTGATTAAAAGAAGTTCAATTGATGCCTTCTAAGAAATCCTCAAATTTCCAAAAAGAAAAGAGAAATGCCGTTTGGAAATGGTGTATATTTTTGCACAGCGTTTGTTATTAAAACAGCAGCAGACGAAGTGGGTTTTGATCTTTTCAGTGCAACAGAGGCACCGAGGCATCCCTCAATAAGTAAGAGTGAGTTAAGTGGTCTTGGTTAAGAAACCAACACAGCTCCAGGGACATACCAGTCCCCATGAGGTGCCTCATCTTAGGACACACACCCGCAGCCTGCCTGGGTCTGCATGACTCTATGTACACGAATGCCAAGCCTTGAGAACACACCTTTTTGCCGTCTCCACAGACTTCTGCTCTGCCAGCTCCTTCTGCAGCTCTCTCTCCTTGGCTTCCTTTTGCCCGATGGGGCAGTCCTCTGGGACAGTGAACAGGGACAGGGCATCTTTGCTGTCCTCTTCTCGGAGCACTTTAGCAAACACCTTCTCGGCCAGGAGCCGGACTTGCTCGTCCACTTCAGAGATGTTCAGCTTGGGAAACTGGCGCGGCATCTCGGCTAGCAAAGGAAGGACAAGCATTAACTTCATGAATTGCAGATGCCCTGAGTCTCCAGCATCGGGGGAAGGCACTGGAGAGAGAGCCAGGCCTACCTGGTACTTGGGGCCAGGTGTCTACTTAGGAATTCCCCAGACCAAACCCAGCATGCCAATTTCAAAATTAGCTCAATAAGTAACTGGATGTGAAGCACGTGGGGCACTTACGTGTCAGGAGAAAGCAAGTGTTCAAAGTTCAAAGAATGAACTGTTTAACTAGGTGAGCTTCCATTTTTCCAAGCTCAGGGAATTTGCAGCATACTGGCAGCCCTGGCCTCCTGACTTTGTTCCCATGTTTGAGAAGGGGCAAGAGAGAGTTCAGCTCTCCCTCCTCCAGACAATGAGGATACTGTTATAGCTGAAACGATAATCAAACCTCACTCCCCCACTTCACAGAGGGAAAGCCCAAAGCCCAGAGGCTTTAACAGCTAAGGTCCCACAAGATTACAGCAGAGCCCTGGGAAAGCCAAAGCTGCATTCTTCATGACATAAAACAAGGCCTTTTGCTGAAGAGAAAGAATCTGCAATTACAGTTCCAAAGCCCCTAGAACCCTCTATGAGACACAGCAAATAAAATATAGGTTTTAGGACAGGAACACTCTTTACCCAGCTGAAAACTCACTCCCCTAAAGCAGCTCTTGATATCTACCTCCTCAGCAGGTTCTTATACTACCACCGCACATACTGGCTTTACGAACAGGCAGGGCCTCATCACCTGCTTGATTCCATTTTTGATTCTCCTTGCTTGGTATGCTTAAATTCTCCATTTTGGCTTATGGTCTTTCCTTTTTTGAAATACTTATATAGCACTAAATGCGTGCGGATGGCTGGCATGGTGTCGACCGTTCTGCGCAACGTGGGGAAACCCATCATCACCTGAGTTGGGAGGGCCAATGGTGGGGCGGTGGGGGATGTATCTCCCAGTCTGTGTGGAGGTGAGGGGAGGGTGAAGGCGCTTGTTCCTGGGGCCCCTGAGGTTGCAACCCCGCTCAAAGCAAGGGGCAGCCTGCAGAAAGAGTTGGGGGCTGCACCACTCAGAAAACTAAGCAAGAAAAGGTAAAAACAAAAACAACAATGCGAGGAGGTGTGCATGTCCACCCAACAGTAGGGGATGCACAGGTCAAGACGGAGAGGATTGACTTGAGCCTAGAACAAAAAAAAAGACACCAAGAGAGGGACAAAAAACCAGAACGCTAAAAAAAAAAAAAAAAGAGCTTAGCCAGGTATGGGAGAATGCCGCCTGTAAAAAAGCAACTATAAAAAAAAAAAAGAGGCAGGAGGATCTCTTGAGCCAGGGAGGTTGAGGCTGCAGTGAGCCACAATGCGCTACTGCACTCCAGCCTGGGAGACAGGGGAGATCTCGTCTCAATTTAAAATATATATATCTGCAAAGAACTTCATACTTATTAACTCAGTTAATCTTATTATTCCATTTGACCGATGAGAAATGATGGCATAGAGAGCTAACATGCCAGGGTCACACTTTTAATAAATTAGCAGAGATTCGTGCTGTTCTCCGCCTTTCTCCTCCATCCCTTTCCTCTCTTATTCTCAGCTCAGGGATCTGAACCCTGGTTCCTGCATCTGTGCCCTTACCCACCATGATGTGCTGCTTCTCTTTGTCCATGTAGGTGTCCAAGCAGGGGCTCCCTACAGTCCCCAGCATAACATTTGTGGAATGGATGGAATACTGCACCCTTTTCAATAAGCCACCCTCACTGGGAACAGCTCTGGAAGAGAAGTTTCCTGTCTATCTACAGTTTCTTTAAGAATGGTTTAAAGAGAGAAGCGGTTTTGTGGACCAGACAGATAAAGATGGAAGTGAGACAGAGCCCTGCTGCCGTCTGGCAGGGAGAAGTGCAGCTACAGGAGAGGGGAACGCGCTCGGCCATCTTGGGACAGTCATTCTCCAGCCTCACAATGTTCTCATCTGTGAGATAAAGGGATTGAACTAAGTGGTCTCTAAGGCCCTCTCAGCTCTAAGTGGCATAATTCTAGGTACAGAGAGATTTCCGGTGCCTGAGGAGGGCTTTCTGCTCTGAGTGGCATGTGGGGCTAAGTCATGACACAGACAGGAAGGAGGAAAGCAGGCTAGTAACAGGCAGTCAGAGCGAAGTCTGTGGCTCCCTTAATTCTGAGACCCAAGGACCTGCTTCTCCCTGATGGGGGGAGTGGGAGGGAGCTAGTGGGGAAGAGCATCTCAGCACATAACTGTCTGGGGAGCAGACACCAAGGCAGCAAGTCCTGGCCTCTGCAAAGAGGAAGAGGAACAAGGCTGACTGTAGAGATTTCCATGTCTTGATAGCAGAGAGGGGGTAAGCTGGAGGCGATCAGAGAAGGTGGCAAGGGAGAGAAAGGCTGGAACAGCACAAAGAACCAGACCCAGGAGGCTCCATCAGGCTGAAACAAAACTGGATCCTCACCTCCCCCCTTACTCCAAGGCCATAAGTCAAGGGCACTGTCCCAAAACCTCACATCGCATCTCAGAGGACATCAAACAGGCCCAGGCAAAAGGCCACAAATGCCATAAAGCACCACACCATTTGATTAAGCAACTTCACTTCTAGAAATTTCTTTAAAAAAAGGAATCTTAGAAATGAAAAGCATGAGGATATTTACCTATACTCTTTAAATAAACAGCTTTAAAATGCCCAAATTAGAGCATACCCACTTGAAAAAGATGTTAAGCAATCAGAATTATAATTATGAGGACGGTGCAATCACATTTTTAAAAAAAAAACACAAAAATACAGTAAATGAAAAAATTAATACATAAAACTATACCCATGCTTTTTTTAAAGAGATAGGAAAATGCAACCCTTTATGGACAAGGCCTGCAAGAGATTCACACACTCAAAATGAGCAGATGGCAGGGCTGCCTGTGTGTAAGAGGATATTTTATTTTGATGATGAATGCTATTATAATGCCATTTTGAGCAAATACAAAGAGAATAGAAAGAAAATGAGTAGACTTAAGACTCCATGAAAAGAGAGAGAAATAAAAAAACAAATCAAACTTATTTTTCTGGCAGGCTTTGGCCATTAAGGCCCCCTCTTACCTAACCCACAGGAGTGAGAGGCCAGGTTTGGAGTTTCATCATTGAGACCTATTCTGTGTTAGCTCCTACCCTGGACAGAAGCCGTTCACCACCACCAGCACCCTCCTACTTCCTCTGCGCCCACAGACACACACAGGCCTGATGACCCAGACACCCCCCACCAGGCTCCCTCAGTGATGGGTATTTGAGTGGGAGGGAAGTCCTTGATGTCTGAGGGCTCTTATGCCAGATCCTGCCATGTCTGTTCATGAAACTTTTTTTTTTTTGAGATAGGGTCTCTGTTGTCCAGGCTGGAGTGCAGTGGCACAATCGCAGCTTACTGCAGCCTCAACCTCACAGGCTCAGGTGATCCTCCCTCAGCCTCCTGAGTAGCTGGGACCACAAGCACACACCATCACACACAGCTAATTTTTGTATTTTTAGTAGAGATGTGGTTTCACCATGTTGGCTAGGCTGGTCTCGAACTCCTGGCCTCAAATGATCTGACCACTTTGGCCTCCCAGAGTGCTAGGATTATGGATGTGAGCCATCACACCCAGCATACAAAGCATTTTTAGCTTGCTCCAGTGAACTAAACATACTTTTCAGGACACAGCTTTCTATAAAAGATCTTCCTTTCTCTTTAGCTTTCCCAAATCTACCTTTCCCAAACTGGATGTCATAAGAAATTGATACCTGTTGCTGGTAAAACAGGTCCTGTGGTCAGTTTTTGGGAGATGCTGCATTCCATAGCCCCTCAACTCACATTCACAAGACTCATTAAAAACTCCAGGATCATAGAGTTGTATTACCATACAGAACGCTTTTTGTTTTACAGAACCCATATAAATCTTCTGCAGAACTACTACCAGAGTCTCAAATAGTTGGTAGAGAATTCATTCCAAGGACAGGAACAACGGCTCATGCCTATAATCCAAGCATTTGGGGAGGCCAAGAAGGAGGGATCGCTTGAGGCCAGGAGTTCCAGATCAGCCTGGGCAACATGTCAGAACCTTGTCTCTACAGAAAATATTTAAAAATAGCCAGGTGTGGTGGTGCACACCTGCAGTCCCAGCTATTTAGAAGGCTGAGGGGGGAGGATTGCTTGAGCCCCGGCAGTGGAGGCTGAAGTGAGTCATGATGGCACCACTGTACTCCAGCCTGGGTAACAGCAAGACCTTGTCTCAAAAAAACAAACAAACAACAACAACAACAAAAAAAAAACAAAGCAAGAAACGAAGACAACAGAAGAATTCATTCTATATCTTAGTATGAACCAAGTAACCCACTTGGGGTACTGTGAGCCTTAGTAGCTGCCCACACATCTGCTGCCTTCTGTATGTCCTTGGCAGACAGCTCCCGCCTGCCAACCTGTCCCTCCAGTGTGTCTCCTCTCTCAGACCCTCCAGACACCTGCCAGGTCAGGCATGCCAAGGAAAGCCCACTCTACAGATACCAAGCAGAGCTACAGCTACAGCTGCCTGTTCATGCCTGGCTTCCAATCATTTGTCAGCTGAAGCCAGCAGGCTTGGGAGGCTTAACTGTGAATTCACCGGCATCAGTCAGCCAGTGATACAGCTTATCTCACTGTCACATGCAACACGCTCCGATGAGCTTGAAGAAGTGTCCTAAAGTTAGAAAGTTCTAAAACACTGCCAGTTTCAACAAACAGTAACTTTTCATGGTGCCACAGCTCCTCCAGAAAGGAAGCTCAGTGCCACTGAAATCCCCTTCTTACACAAAGGAAGCTGGTTCCTACTTTTGCCAGTCTCCCCTCACAGAAGCCCCGACACAGACCTGAGCCCGGCTCCATGACTGGTTCTGAG